ATTTGAGATACATGCCGAAGGCGCTGGAACAGGGAACGAATGCTGGGGAGGGCATTACGGAGAAGACAACAAGCGCCTTTTCGTGCGGAGGGACGGGGACGTAGGGAAGCGGAACCATGGAAATCATCCTGTTATTCCCCCTCTCTCTCCCATCGGTTCGCGACCCTTTTCCTCGAACCTCCCCCCTCCTCGAATATCTTCCTCCTCGCCCTCCTCGATCCTCGATTTTTCTCCAGGATCCTCTCCCTTCCTCATCATCCTGCTTTTGCCTCCTCCTCGATAACCGATCATCTTGATCGATATCCCTTCTCTTCCTCCTCTTCCTTGTCGGTTCTCGAGCCTCGACCCTGTATCGTCATACCCCTCCTCGATCCTCCTCCACCTCGGTCCTCGCAGACCCCCTCTTCGTATTCGATCCTCCTTTTCGATTATCATTCCTCGATACTAAATCCATTTCGTTGTCCTCGCCTCGGCGCGCTCTCAGTTCGAGCACTTCGGCGGCAGGTAGCAATGCCATCGACCAACCCTTGGGCCGAAAAAAGAGCGATCGGTTCGAAATGCTTTGCCGCGCGCCCAGCCGCTGCTCCGAGCCAACAACGGGAGGTCCGATGGAGCGTTCAAAATGGCCGCGACCTGCGCCAAACGCGCGCCGAACATGCAAACGCACGTAAAATTGAAACGTCCATCGCGCGTTCCTGGGACGCACCAAAAGCATGTAAACGAACCGATGGTGGACCAAAGGAACCTTAAACGGAATATCGGAGGCAACTGGGGCCGCTGGGGGCGCCTGACTTGAACGCTAATGGTATCACGCGCTCTGCCCACGCAGGGTAAGGCATGATTCCCGGGCGAATGCACTAATGGCAACACCTGCTCTACTGTTGACAACTTCCTGGCCGCCAAAAGATAATCCTCGTCCTCGGCCCCCACCCAAATTCAATGTGGAAGCGACAAGTTCCACAAAACCAAAGAATACATGACCGCTCGCTCCATGATATTATGAAAAACAAAGCACCCCTTGAAATCAGGATCACGCGTCCCGGCCAACTGGCCGGCCGATGCCGACCAGGACGGACACATGCTCGAAATACGTTCCTACCTACGTCGAAAGCATTAGTCTAAGGTTCGAAACAATTGAGTTTGTTTTTTTCCTTGAGCTGTGGCCGAAATACCACTCGCACAAATGAATATTCACATATCGTGTATTGCTGATGTCGACCAGGCTGGCATAACGAATTGACAACCACAGGATATCGCCAAGCCTCAGCTGATTTATCCCGCATATGAATAATGCGTGAGTCTACTGGAACGGTTGGGGGGCTCGAAAATCTAAAAATTATTTGGCGGCGGCGCTGCGGAGCTCGACGCGGTCCCTGGTTGACGGCTTACCGCCGGCGCCCAATAGAACTTTTCGGCTAGACGCACACTGGAACTACTTTGCTGACCCGGGCAAAACAAACGAACTGTCTGACGACCTGGGCTCGTTTTCTTTTATATATAAAAAATGTCAGCAACGACGGTTTATTTTAGAAGCCACGTTTTTGCGCTGTGCATTCGATCGCGCTGCGTTCGCTAGTCACCTTCACATATGTAGATGTAATATATCCATCGGTTTACTCCCGGGAACCGCTTACGAAGGTCGTATTGTACAGAGATTGTAGCATTCCAAACATGAGAGAGCGTGATCCACCGCCGCTCTACTGTGGAAAATTCCCCCCCTCTTCCTCCAGAACCTGGGGTCTGGGGTCCCCCCCCCCTCCGAAAATACCCCCCCCTTTCCCCCCTGCTGGACCCCCCCCCTTCCCCCGGCGAAGCCCCCCCCCTCCCCCACACAATTATTCAATATGAATACTACTCTCCCTCTTCCCCTGATGACGGCCTCGGAAAGTCCGACAACCCCCCGCGTACTGTTTTTTATACAACAGGTTTCCCCGGAGTTGGGTTTTCGCCCGCATTTGTTTTCAAAATGCTGCTCTCGCTGAGGCGCCGGCCTCATTTTCGGGCCCCGCTCGTTCCGAATCGTGCTCCCGCTGCAGCGCTGGCCTCATTTCCGTGCTTCCGCTCGTTCCGAATCGTGGTCCCGCTGCAGCGCTGGCCTCATCTCCGCGCTTCCGCTACGCTTTGATATTCAACGCCATGCTATGCAATGTTATGTTCGGGGCCGTTGTGCGATGCCACGCTTTGCGTTGCAAGGCTTTGTGATGCAATTCTTCACTACGCCACGCCACGCCACGCTGTGACATACTACGCTTTGCGGTGCTTTTCTACGCCATGCCACGCCGTGCTCTAGAATGCATCGCGCACCCTTTCGGGATCATTGCCCTGCTCGACATCCGACTGTGCGAGTAGAGACGGGATCTGCGCCATGGTAAGGGATGGGAAGGGAGGGGTAGGATGTCAAATATAACGCGAGCGCACCAAGTCACCAAGTTTGCCCCCCGCCCCCCCTCCCCTCCCCTCCCCCTCGAAAAAAAAGGGGGGGTGACTACCGGTTCGACCCCCCCCCCATCGAAAATTGGAGGGGGGTCGCTACCGGTTCGAACCCCCCTCCCTCTCACCGCCAGCCAGCAAACGACTCCCATCCCTACCACCGTCCGCAGCACCACATCCCCCACTGCTGTTCCCAGCGCCACAGTCCTCACCACCACTGTCCCCGCTGGTTCCACCACCGTCCCTACCGTCCCCACAAGTGCCCCCACCACTGTCGCACTGTCCCCACTGTCCACGCCACTGTTCCCACCACGGTTCCACTCTCCCCATTTTCTCCACGGCCCCAACCACTGCCAGACTATCCCCACTGTCCCCACTGTCCCACTGACCCCTCCGCTGTCCCACTGAGCTGCCCCACCGTTCCCACCACTGTCCCCGCTGCCCCCACCGCTGTCCCCGCTGTACCTTTGTCCCATTGTTCCACCGCCGTCCTCGCCGCCGCCTTCACCGCTGTCCCCAACACCGCTGCACCCTCCACTGTCCCACTGTTTCCACCAGGTTCCCACTGTCCCCACGCCACTGTCCCCACCACCACCGCCCCCGCCACTGTCCCCACCATTTTCCTCACCGCTCCCCACCACAACCGCCCCCACCACTGTCCCACTGCCCCCGCCGCGGCCCCGCTGTCCCCTCACCAACCGCTGCCCCCACCACTGTCCGCGCCCCCCTCGGTTTTCGAGGGGGCGGGTTCGAACCGGCAGCGACCCCCCCTGGTTTTCGAAGGGGGGGTTCGAACCGGCAGCGACCCCCCCCCCTGTTCACGATGGACCGGGGGGGGGGGGAGAGGGGCTCGAACCGGTAGTGACCCCCCCCAGGTTTTCCGGGAGGGGGGGGGGCTCGAACAGGAAAGCTTCAGCAGCATCGGACGCTCTAGTCTAGAGGTTCGGGTCGCCTGAAATCGGTTTTTCACTCGTGCTATAAAAATTAAAATAATAATATTATTAATAATAATACAAATAATACTAATAATAATAATAATAATAATAATATTAATATTAATAAAAATAATAGTAATAATACTATATATATATATAAATACGCCTGCCGCGCTCGCGCAGGACTTTTACCACTTGCGCGCCGGCAGGCGCAAGAGCGAGAGGAGCGCCCGCGTCCGGAATGGGACGGAAATCCCCAGCTCCGCGAACTGATTTGCCCTGTCGAGCATGAGGTCGAGACTCAAGAACACGCTCCGCGCATGTTCTCGTCGCGGCTGGGCGTGAACTTCGAGAAGTCTAGCCGTGCGCGGAGCACCCGCGCCTCTGGGTCGGGAGGGAACTTGGCCAGCAGCGCTGCCGAGAGGACGCTGGCGCCCGACCTCGCCGCGGCGCCCCGGCCGTCACCCAGGTCCACCACGGCGCCGCGCTGCAGGATCTCCACCGCGACTTCGTCGGCGACGGTCTGGCGCTCGACGCTCAGCTCGGCGGCCGCCGCCCACCTCGGGACGTCCCGCGCCCACTCCGCGATGGTGTACGGGCACGCCGCGTCGCGGTCTAGTTTTGGGTTCCGCCGCGGCGGTGTCTCGGTAGACGCCACGACGGTGCCCTGTCTGTAGTGGCGGGGAGCTGCGACGATGGCGCGCGGCTGGCGCCGCGCAAGCGCGCTGCTGCTGCCGCTGCCGGTTCCTGCTGCCGTGGTGGGAGCCGCAAGTCGTCGGCCGCGTTGCCTGGCGGAGGCGTTGGGCTGCCCCTGCGCGGGGGCGTCAGCGTGCACCTCGGCGGGGGCTCCAGCTCCGCCTTTGTCTCGTCGTCCGGCTTCTCGTCCGGCGACCATGGCAGCTCCTGTTCGGCCAGCTCTTCCTCCTTCTCGGTCTTGAAGACGAAGCGAGAATCGCCGCGAAATCGCACTGACCTGCGGCAGGCCTCGCTGTGAGGCTCCCCCGGTGAACACGAGCAGGTTCAAGTTGCCCTTTCGTGCTCCACCTCAAGCCGCCGGGCCGCGCGACGCGTCTCGCTTTCCAACGAGTGCGTGTGCGTCCGGCGCTTTTTGCCTGCTCCCGCAGGCCTGCATGGGGTAGTCGTAGTTGGCGCAGTGGTAGCCGTAGTACCTGTGCTGGGGGCGCTTGTCAATGGTCGCCCAGCCTGGCCGCTGACCGCCGAAGCGCCCCGCTACCAGTGGAAGCGCCACCCCGCGCTTCTGGTGCAAGAGCTCCACGAAGATTTTCAGGAAAAAGAAGACGGATAACGATAGTGGAAATAACAAATTTCAAACATGGGATGGACGTAAGATATGAAAGAACAGTGGTTTTGCAGTATGTTTTGCTACACGCCTCTGGCGAAGAGCGATTTGCCTCGCAATATAAATAGCGACGGATGCGCGCGCGGGGGGTTAAGCACTGAAGGGGTGGGGGGTGTAAATCTCCCGATCCATTAGCACGGTCCCCACATCGAACCGCATCGGCGATGCATCGGCGATGCGGCGCGATCCTCCGACCCCATCTACTCCGACCCCATATGGGAGGCCTTGAGACATTGCGCACCCTGCGCAGCGGCGGCGCCCGCCCTGGGGGGCACCTCCCGAGCGCGAGGCCGAACCTCTGCGCCCCGAAGTGCCTGCCGCCGACCTGTGCGGTCGGGCGACGAAGAGCGCGCATGCAGATACTCGCGGCCGTAACGCGCATTACGGGGGTGGGCGAGGGTGCACGGTTTCCCCCGGGGCCGTAGGCGACCCGGAGGAGGAGGAGGAGGAGGAGGAGGAGGAGGAGGAGGAGGAGGAGGAGGAGGAGGAGGGAGGAGGAGGAGGAGGAGGAGGAGGAGGAGGAGGAGGAGGAGGGAGGAGGAGGAAAAGGGGGAAGAGGAGGGGGAGGAGGAGATGGAGGAGATGGAGGAGGAGGAGGAGGAGGAGGAGGAGGAGGAGAAGGAGGGCCCTTCGGAGAAACCCTCCAGGCGGGAGGGGTCATACCGTAACGATCCCCCCCGCCGTGTGGCTCCGGCACCACAGCGCCTGTGCGCATCACAGCAAGCACCGCATCGCGCAGCACAGAATGCACAGCCGCAGCCGCGTGCACCACATCGCCCACGCACTGCGCAGCGCATGCGTGCACCATCGTGCAGCACCACAGCGTGTGCATCCTCCACACCCTCCTTCGACGAGCATGATTTTGTGCTGGTGTTTGCTGCCGCTGTGTTGCATCTACGTTGCACAGCAAAGGATGCTACAATTCTCTGTTTCTGCCGCCTCCAGAACCGAAGCATAGACCGAACATTGTCTCAAATCTGTACCGCACTGCCTGTTTCCGATGCGTGCTGCACACGTGCACCACAGAGCTTGCGTGCACCGCAGCGCCTGCGTGCACCACAGCAGGAGCGTTCACCGCAGCGCCTGCGCACACCGCAACGTGCGGGTGCACCACACCGTTTGCGGACACCACAATCGCTGCGTTGATTACGCTTCTGCCTTGGAAATGGGTTCCGCGCAGAATCTCGGCGCACCTTGGCCTTGGCCCGAAACAGAGGGCGGGCAACAATGGTACCTGCAATCACGCACGATATGGGCGAATAACTGCGAGAATACGATTGCATTTCTGCCGGCATCCCAGTAGCTTGCGAGCACCGCGGCGCGCCTGTGAGCAATAAGCTGCACTTGCAAGCCTCTCGGATAACGCCCTGTTAGCCACGCTGCGAACCTCGAGCCTGGAACCTCGATCCTGCGACCAGTATCCAGTCAACAAAATCCGTTTGACTCAGCTCGGGGCCAACAGTAGACTGATGTTCGCTCTGCGCGCGGCCGCGGCGACGAGAGCCTCCAGAACCGCCCCGACAACAATCGGGAGGACGAGGACGACGACGCCGATGACGACGCGGGGTGCGCCAGGGGCGGCGCCGGAGGTGCCACAAGGGGAACACAGCGCCAATCCCAGAAATGACACAAAAAGAGCTCCGAGAAGTGATCTTTCTGACATTGTTCTTCGACCCTCAGAAATTATTCTGCCTCTTGAGAATCAAGCGTGCAAAAGGATTTAAGAAGACAGCCACCCACGATCTATCACTAAAACAACGACAGCTACTACAACGATCGCGACGACGATCGCGACGACAACGACGACCACAGACCACACTCAGGAAGCCACCGCCAACCAGGACAACTACTACGATTCCGACCCCGACGACCTCAAGACGACGACCACGATGACGACCGCGGAAACGATCACGACGACTATGACGACGATCGCGACGACTACGAATACTACGACGACTGCGCCTGTCACGAAGACGGTCAGAACGACGACCAGGCGCCGACGACGACTCACGCTACAACCTAAAATGAACTCGACGACCATGGCGATTTCGACGACGACGGCGACGGCAATTACGACAAACACCACAACGATCACCATGACCACAAGACAACCACGACGGTGATTGCAAGGACACCCCGTTCCCCCCTCCAACTCTTTCTCCTCCTCCTGACATCACTTTTTTGGCTGCGACTGTTGCCAACACTTCTGCTACCAATGCCACTACCGCAACTCTCGCGTCCCCTGCCAGCACCAGAGTACCGAGTGAATCCCGCGCGCGAGCGCTAAAAGTGCCGGACCCTGCATGTGCGACAATAGCCTGCTAGCGTAGCACCATGTCTGCGAGAACGGGCAATGAGCCTGTCAACGCCACGCTAGGCCGTGAGCGTTAAGGTAGCCTGCAGGCACCACAATAGCCTGCAAGCATCAGAATGGCAGTGCCCGACGCGCAAAACGGGGGGGGGGAGGGGAGCGTTACATGATGGGGGGGAGGGGGGCATACCGCGCGTTGTGGCCCAGAGCATTGAACACCATTCTCAAGGAGAGTCCCAACCGGACGGTGAAGGCCGCGGCACACTTCGGGGCCCCAGAAGCGTGTGGTGACGGACCTAGTGACCTCGGAATTCTCAACGACCTCCCCGCGCGAGCCGTCACGGCACGGTTTTGGGACCTCGACGGGCCGGGAACGGCCGGGCTGCATCTCGACCGCATCGCTGCTGCACGCCAGCTGCTGCTGCTGACGCTTCTGCTCCTGGCGGCTCCGTTTCGCCCAGGACGACGGAAACTCTCACGCAGAGCTCCACGACGACGACGACGACGACGACGGCGACCACGGCGGCCATGACGACGACCACGACGACCAGGACGACCGCAAAGACGACGAAATTGGCCACGATCACAATTACATAGCGCGAAGACGGCGACGATGACCACGACGACAGTAACGATTACGAAGACGACCACGGACACGGCGACAACGCAGACCAGTCACAACTGGGAGAGCCGTGTTCCTTGTCCCACAGCGGGGGGGGGCCCATTGTATCGACGGGGTCTCTCGAGAGGGGTGTTGAAGTCGATGGATCCCCCAGTTAGGAGGCAACTCCCGGGGGGCCTTCGAGAGATCGACCAAGGGCTATAAAGCCCTCCTCCTACTCCACCTCCGCCTCCTCCTCCTCTTCCTCCTCTTCCTCCTCCTCTTCCTCCTCACCCTCCTCCTCCTCCTCCGCCTCCGCCTCCTCCTCCGCCTCCTCCTCGAGGTTCATGGAGCCCAATAGGCAGGACGCAGCCAAGGATTCAGCTGGATTGAGCGGGAACGAACGAATCCAACGGGACGATGTCGTATCAGGCCGGGTTTGCGACAATGGATCTACCGGCGCCGACGCTCAATGCAAGCTGCCAAGATCTGCATCCTGATTCGCCGCAAGGGGGTGAGGACACAGCTCCCCCGGCTTCGGGTAACTGTCGTTTCGGAGAGACGTGGGATTCGGATTTGGGGGACTCGGGTTGGCCTGCCGCGGTCATCAAGGAAATGACGAAACTCAATCTGAAACTTGACTCGAGCTCCCGCTGCAAACAGCCCACGACAACTGGACCGCCAAAATCCTGGTCGTGCCCGTCAAGAAGCACCGGCATACCCGAGATACAGCGAATTCGAGTCTGATGTTTCCCCGATCGTTGTCTAGAGGCCTCCTAAAGGGGTCGGAATAGATGGGATCGGAGAACCGCGCCGCATCGTCAATGCATCACCGATGCATCGCCGATGCATCGGCGATACATCGGCGACGTCGGCGATGCATCGGCGATGCTGCGCGAGACTTCGACACATCTACTCCAACCCCATCTAGGAGGCCTTGCACGGCGCGAGCCAAGCAATGTCTTCCGTTATGGTTTTGTTGTCATTCCCTTGTTCAGTATTCGTTCCGCCATTGCTGCACAGCGAGACCAATATGAACACGGTCCACAAAATAGCCCAACACACAGGTTTGGCTCGCGCCAAGGCCAGGAGTCTTACGTTTCCCCAATTGCTGTCGCCGAGGCTGGTCTGCCACGGCTTTGGTTTCTGTACCATGGGAGCCCATGTGGCCCTCGGCGCTGTCCGATTTGAGCCTGACTTGGACCCGGTTTGGAACACAGCTGGGATCGGATTGGGACCGGCTTTGACCAGATTTACCCCTTCACAAGTGAGACGAGAAGAGCGAGGAGGGGTAGGAGCAGGAGAAGGGCCAAATGCGGTCCAAATGCGGCCCAGATGCAGGACAAGCTGGATTCAATGCCTCCGCCCAAGGCTCCCATGAACGGACATCGAACACGGCGACAGCGGCACGGCGCTGTCAACGGCGAGGTGGGCCTCCTTCCGCGACGCGGCGAGCGCGGCTGGGTCCGCCGGCGCCCCCGCGCGCTCGCAGCCCGCGAGGGCGACCATCAGGCTCACCTCGCCCTTCTCGGACGCGAGGCCCTCCGGGGGGGGGCATCGCCGGCACGGCGGAGCGGCCCCTGTAGGAACAGAAGGAGAAGCGACACCACCTCAGCCGGGGACCACCAGCGGGATTAGCCAGGGATTAGCGCCCCTGGTGGTGTGGTCATCCCCCCTCCTCACTCGAGGCATCCCCTGCTCCCAGCTTGGGGAGGCATCGTGGACCTCCGCGCTGGAGGTGACCCCCCTGGTGGCGGCGGTGGCGTCGCTTCTGCTCCCCCCGACCCTGGATCAGATGAGGAACAATACTGGCACATAATAAAAAGCCCTTACGCATGGCCAAGAGAAATACAAATTTCAGCGGTCCAAGGAGCCGCGCCTTTCAACATCACGCGCGCCATGGCAGGAAGCATGATCTGAAGCGCTCCGTGGCCCCCCAAACCGCAGGGAAAGACCAATCACTCTTCCGCCGCCGCGAGCGTTGTGCCCCCCACCCCTGAGAGGAAGGCAGGGAGACTGGGGCCCTTCCGTCTTGCTCTGGGGCTACCGTTACCCTTGCCTCGTCACCACGGCTGGATTCGCCTCGAAATCCTGGTGAGAACGCATCCCAGGAGAGATGTCCCGGGAGTGGCGTCATCGTTGCCTCGGTACCCTTTCCCCCCCCCGCTGGAGGGAAGGGGGTCCCAGATCTGTCCCTGGCAGCTTGTCTGTGCGAGCTCCAGCGAGCGCCTGGTGAAGTGGCCCCTGCCCCGACCTGTGCATACGGCAGGTTCGTGTCGTGCCGACCCCAGCCTTGGTTTTTGACACCGCAGGGATCGTTCAACCTTGAACGATCGGCCGCTGCCGCAACGTCCGATCGTTCAACATCGATCGATTCTGGGTCGCCAGCGGCGTTCAACCTTGAACGCCCGCGCTGGGGTCGCCGCTGGTCGACACGACGCAAACCTACCGTAGCTGCTCCAGGGCTCTCTTCTGCCGCAAGGATGATCACACCACTCAGGTCATCCGCCGCCATCGGGCTCCGGGGGCCGTCGGAAGGCAGCTCAGGGCGGGGAGAATGCCCTGGGAAGAGCTGAAACAGGGCTAGGATCGGGATAAAATCGCTCGCCGTCGGAAGGCAGCTCAGGGTGGGGAGACGGCCCTGGGCAGAGCTAAAACAGGGCTAGGATCGGGATAAATCGCTCGCCGTCGGAAGGCAGCTCAGGGTGGGGAGACGGCCCTGGGCAGAGCTAAAACAGGGCTAGGATCGGGATAAATCGCTCCAGAGCGTTCCGGGGCGCTCTCAGAGCGTTCCGGAACGCTCTGGAGCGGCCGCGGCGCCCAATACATCCCCCAAACCCGCCGATCCTCAGAGACTTCGAGTTATCCCGATCCGATTTTATCCCGATCTTCGCGTCGCTTGAAGAGCCCCCTGAGGGGCCTCGGATCCGTGCCCCCCGGGACAAGCAGCGAGCGCGGGCCCGGCCGTGGCTCTCAGCCCACGCCGGCTCCTCGGGCCAGGGTGGACGCCAAAACGGCAAGAGCGCGGGCCCGGCCGCGAAGCTCAGCCGACGCCTGCGCTGGCTTCTCGGGCCCCGCTCGGCGCCATGTTCGGGAGACTCTCCATGGGGGGGGATCCTAAGGGATCCACCCCCCTGGGATCCTATCCCCCCATGGGATCCCCCCCCATGGGAAGGGGATCCTAAGGGATCCACCCCCCTGGGATCCTATCCCCCCATGGGATCCCCCCCCATGAAGAGTCTCCCGACATGTGGCCGAGGACATTCCCGGTCTTTCGCCGCGGAAGGCGTCGAGAGGTCCAGGCCCCGAGGCATCCGTGGCGCCGCCTCCTCCTCCACTCCTTGCCTCCGTTTCTCCATTCCTCCTCCTGCTCCCCCTCCGTCCGTCGGTAGTCCGGAACTCCTCCTCCAGTCTCCCTCCTGCTCCCAATGCTCCCCGGACCAGGACCAAGGCCCCCCGATGTTGTCGGGCGGCTTTTCGGAGGCTTACTGGAGTCTGCGAGTGCAGACATTGGGACAAACAAGGATCGTGTTCGTCCTTGCCGTCGCCGTCGGCTCCTCCTCCTCCTCCTCCTCCTCCTCCTCCTCCTCCTCCTCCTCCTCCTCCTCCTCCTCCAACTCCTACTCCTCCTCCCCTTCCTCCTCCCCCTCCTCCTCCTCCTCCTCCGCTATTTCCGCTATTTGACGCGCCGTAAGGGTCACTGCCCTGAAGCGCAGCGCGGCGGCCGTCGGCCGCCGACAGAGGGGGGGTGAGGAAGGACCGTTTCATTGTCCTGGAATGTGCTAGGCCCGGAGGAAAGGGGAAGAGAAAAAGACGACGGGCCCGTTGGGCCCAACACCGGTCGGCGAAGGGCCCGAGGGGCCGAGGGCCCGCGGGGCCCAGGCCTTCGGCTCGGCGAGGGCCCACCCGCCTCGGTGGGGCCTAGCTGAGCTCGTCCGCCAAGTCGGGGACGGCGGGGCCCTCAGGCCGCGTCGAAGGCGGCGACCCCGCCCGCGCCTGGCCTCCGCGATGCGCTCCCTCTGGCCCAGCGCGAGGTGCTCCGCGTCGCGCGTGCGTCCGCCGGTGTGCACCTGCTGGTCCAGCGCCAGGAGCTCTGCGTTGCCGCAAGCCTGCGGGGGCATCCGCGCCTGGCCTCCCAGCTGTCCGCCAGCTGGCCCAGCGCGCGGAGCTCCGCGATGCCGTCGGCCTCCACCGTCTGGCCCCCAGCGGGAGGAGCTCCGCGATGCCGTCGGCCTCCGCCATCTGGCCCCCAGCGCGAGGAGCTCCGCGATGCCGTCGGCCTCCGCAATTTGCTCCTTCTGGCCCAGCGCGAGGAGCTCCGCGTCGCGGTCGGCCTCCTCGGTGTGCCAGTGGTCGTCTGCCTCGATGATGGTAGGCTCTTTGTACTTGGCTCGGTCGCCTTGGTCGAGTAGCACTGTTTGACTGCGTTGGGCTCAGGCTCTGGTACTCGTCTCAGCCGTGAGGTAATTGTCGTGCTGGTTAGGGTCGATGGGGGCCGGCTTGTTGCTGGTAGGTAGAATAGATTGTGGGCGCACTCAGGCCTCCATGCGCCGACTTCAAGTAGGGTTCGTGGCGGCCCTACCTCGTCCCGCTATGGCTAGGGGTCACGGTGCCCTCGGTGGGGGCGAACCCCAGGCCAAGTGATTCTTGCTGTCGAGGAGGAAGATCAACGCTGCCCTATGCTTCGCCCTTGGGCGCTCGGGAGCTCCGTCTCCGCCATGGGAATGGTGGGGGTGGCGAGCTAGGGCGGACCGCGGGGGCGCGGGCAGTACTCGTCCTGCCCCCCCCCTGCCCCTCACCATCCCCCCTGGTAGGCGCGGGCAGTCCTCGTCCTGCCCCCCCGCCCTTCGAGCCCGTCTCGAAGTTTGATCCTTGCCTCGCCAGGGCAGCGTTGACTCGTGCTTGGTGCAGTTGGGGTTATCTGGCTGGTACCTCTGATCCCTGGCTGAACGGCGGCCGTGTCCGCCAAGTGCAAAACGTGACGACGTGTGCCTGGGGTGTTCCCTCGCATTCGGGGCTTCCCCAGGACTTGCGTCCTGATGACTTGTGCAAAACTTGACGACGTAGCCTGAGGTGTTCCCACGCACTCGGGGCTTCCTCAGGACTTGCGTTCTGATTCTTTTGTACTTGTCGTCAGGGCGCATCGACTCGATCCGCGCTGTCAGCCTGTGCCCGAACAGCTCCTGTCGAGGTGGTGGCCCTGCCGTTTGCCTTGCCGGGTCGGTCCTGCCGGGCCCACTCCCTTGCCTCTTCCAACCAGGTCGGTGAGCCACTCCGCCTCGCTTGGCCCCGATGGTAGTCCTGACCCATCTCCCTGGTCTTGCAGCGGTCGAGCGGCTGGAAAAAGTGGGCCACGTCGTCGTCGATGTGCCACCCCTGGACGTCGTTAGGCGACTCGCCAAAGCGCCACCTTATCTGCTTCGCCAGTGCGGTCGCGATGGCCTGGCACATCCTGTTCGGGTACTCCTTGGCCGCCGCGGTGCGCCACTGGCCGTCGTCGTTGATGCCTGCCAGCTCCGCGTGGTAGGAGGCCGTGTGAAAGCACCTTCCGCTTCCAGGCAGTCTACTGATTTCTGCTCGGAGGGTTGGTAGGGATACCGCCATCAGGCTTGTGGACTTCCTCGAACGCGCTCCACAGGTGCACTGGTCGAAGGTGATCAGCTCGACTCCCTGCTGGTTCAGGAGGTGGCGCGTCTCGGGAAGCTTCCAGGAGCTGGCGAAGTGCTCCTCGGTGGGCTCGGACGGGTGCTCGAGCATGCCTGGGACTCCTAGGTTGAGGCACATGTACATGAGCTCCAGCTGTGTCCTGTATAGGCGGTTGCCTGTCGCTACTTGCTCCATCTCTGGGCGGGAAAGGTAGCGCAGGCCCCACAGGCTGTTGCTGCTCCTTAGGGGTCTTGGTGGCCGACCCCTGCAGTCATTGGGGGGCAAGTGGCGCGCTCGGCTCCAGGTCTCGCACGGCGGTCCGCCGATGACTCCTGCAATTCTTCCTGCTTGTGCCATGTCTCGCCACTTGCTGACTGCGACTTCTGATGCCAGGTCGCCGAAGGTCGGGTCGTTGGCGATGTCCAGGCTGAGCATGTGTATGTCGCAAGCAGCCCGACTGCTGAGGCGGTCAAACCAGTCCTGAACATCTCCCTCTCGGCGACGGCCGCTGAATAGATGCAGCACGTATAGCGTCCGCGCTGGTCTGGGCCTCGGTACAGCAGCTGGCGGCGGTGGCGGCTCCTCGATGAAGGGGAGCTCTAGGCTCTCGTAGTGGCCGCCGTTGCTGTCGTCGCTGTCCTCGTCCGTATGTATTTCTGGAGGACGAGCAGGGACTGCAGGCTTCTCTGCCCAGTCGATGGGCCTGCCCGCCCTTCGGTTCGCCTGCTGCTGGTCGCGGACAATTTGCTGGTTGTGCTGCAGCTCGGCTCTACTTAGGATTGCTGGACGCGTCTTTCGCCAATGTCGAGCGCACCTGCGCACTCTCAGCAAGTGTTTGACCAGCCTGTTTGTAGTATGGTAATCCATGCCGCATCCGTAGCAGACCGAACCAGTTGCCCACGAGATAGGATGACCCGACGAGGTGTGGTCCTTGGTGATGTGTGCTCGTAGCACTGCTGCACTGGCTTCGGTACGTCCGCAGTGGTAGCATAGGTACTTGCGCTGATGCTCGAAGTGCTGGTCTGGGAAGGGCGAGATGGCTTCCGTGTTGGTCCACCGTTGGAGTCGAAGCCGCCATCGAGCTTGGTAGTCGTGATCGTACTGGCGAGCTTTGCCCCGTTGGCAAGCTTTCTTTACTGCGCTGAGGTAGCTTTGGTAGTCGTTCCTGGCCCAGTCCTTCCAGTCCTCGAGCGTGTATGCTCCACCACGCTCGTCAGGTCCTGTGTGGTCGCGGACCCAGTCTAGGTCTCGGCGGAGCAGTGCCACCCAGCCGTAACTACCATCCCATGCTTGGCTAAGTAGCCGGCGGAGGTGCAGGGGTCCCCAGTTGAGGCATCTGCCAAGTAGTCGTAGCCTCTCAAGTCGCAGGACTATCTCTGGGGGCAGCTTGTCGACCCCTTCGAGGATCTGGGTGTTCGTTACCTCCTTTTTCTGTCGTACTTTCCAAGTGATCCTTTGCGCGGCAGCGTAGTTGACGATATACTGGTTGTTGAAATTCCTGGCCTGGCCTGCGGTGAGTTCGGGCCAGGTAGACGCATTGTATAGTAGCTGGGATAACACCACACTGTCGGCTAAGTAGGCCTTGTCTTTGACGGCCAGCTCTGATCGCCGGTGGACTTCGCGATGGAGAGGCCTCGTGGATGTCGCTGCAGTGGCTACCTTCACTGCGACATCCACCCCAGGGGATGCATTGTCGGTCACGTAGGTCCCGAGGAGCTTGTGGTGACGAACCACCTCGACGCAACTCTCTGCAAGGGGGACCTCGATCCTCGGCACTCCCTCGGAGTAGAAACTGGCCCGCGCTTGCCGGCTCCCAGGCCCACTGAAGTCGATCATCACCTTGGTCTTGGTGAGTTGCAGCTGGAGGCCGAAGGTGCTGGCGGCGCAGTAGACGGCTTCGCAGAACCCGGTGGCCTCATGCTGAATGTGGTCGGGGCTGGTGAACACGTGCATGCCCGTTAGGTCGTCGACAAACGATAGGCCATGTGGTTCATGCTCCTGGAGTGGCCCATCTGTGGGGTCGGTGTCGCATGCGAAGCTGCTGTCAAGAGGCTTGCCCTGAGGTCGTAGCCCTCGCTGCGCAAGGTAGCTGTCAATCATGCGGTGGACTCGGCCGAATAGCAGATTGAAGTCCGCGTCGGCCAGGGGCACGCCAGGCCTCGTGCCCTTGTGCGGCGCCATAAGGTTCTGGGAGAACCTGTGTGATGTCCACCTGTTGCGATATCCTTCTGCAATGAGGGCAGCCAAGTGGGAGCCGTCCAACACTGTGTCGAGTATCCCTGGGTTGGCCATGAGGTGCTCCAGGCTGCGGCTGGGCCCACAGGGGAACCTCGAGGTTCTCTAGCACCTCCTGGACTTCGTCCTCTTCTCCTGGGATGCCATGAACCAGCTGGACTACAACCGAATAGAAGGCCTCCTTTAAGTCGTAGCAGCTTATCATGGAGCACTTCCCTTGGGCCTGACTTCTCTCTGTGAAGAGGCGTGCTGCGAGGACCGCCATGTCCGCCCCTCGCTTGGGCCGGCCGCCAACCTGGATGTCCTCCAGCGCTATGGCGAGGGTAGTGTTGAGCATGGTCCTTAGGTATTTGTGGTGGTGCTTGCCCAGGACGTTGTTCAAGAGGATCTCGCGGTAGGCTTGGAGGTACCTTGGGTCGCCTTTTCCTTTGGGAATTGCGACCAGGTCTCCACCCTTGAAGCTCAGCGGCTCTCTCACGGTGGTCGCCACCTTGGTGAAGAGGGGGTGCAGTAGCCTCGCTGCCTCTGTGGGGGCCGCCCTGAGGACAGCGTTCGTGAGCCCGTCGGGGCCTCCTTGCGTCCCAGCCTTGGCCGCGGCGAACTGGGCCTGGCAGACGGCTAGGGGCATCGCCATGGAGAGATCCAGCATGCCGTCGAAGGGCCTGATCTTGCTGTCGTGATTGTACTTGTTAGCAAGATCATCCGCTGTCACGATCTTCCCCGCCTGTATCTTCGCGAAATGGTTAAGCTCCTGGTCCGCCATTTCCTGGGAGTTGTGGATCACCTCTCCATCCTTGTCGAGCCGCATAGGCTTTCCTGCTGGGAATTTCGCCTTCCTCCCTCCATACCTTAGTAGGTCGCGGTAAGCCTTCCACTGGACCGCAGCGTCGTTCGCGGCGGAGGCGGAGGACGCTGTCGAGGCAAGCCGACTGAGGAATGCGCTTCGGTCCTTCTCGACGGCCGCGGCAACTATAGGCCCAGACCTGGTGAGGAAGGAAAGGATGGCCATGGCGTAGACCATGGGCGAGATTGTCCAGTTCAGGAGGAGGTGCGCGTAGTGGTGGATGTCGTGGATGGTGCCATCGTCATCGCCACGCTCTCTGCTCCAAAGGGAGAGTGAGTCCCCTACTTCGCCTGCACGAAGAGAATGGGCGTGGGCTACTAGTCGTCCAGGTCGGTCGTCGTGGGCTTCTCCTCTGAGCACTGCACGGTGGACTCGGAGTGTGAGGCGCCTGGCTCGGATCAGGCCCATGGTAGTCTTGGTGACGTAGGGCTTCCTCGTTGCCTTGGAGGCCTTGCCGAAGGCCTGGATGGCCGCGTCGTTGACGACCCTGATGGCCTCCTCGCAGTGGGTGTTGACGTCCACCTCCCAGGGGATGATCGGGGCCTGCTTGAGAATCTCCTTGAAGCTGGCCTTGGCGACGTCATTGTTCAAGTTGGTCAGGTCGGGCCTCGGTCCTGAGGCCTTGGTGGTCTTGCAGACGGCCCACTTGAGGGTGGCTAGTACTGGTATGTGGTATTGTGCAGCTGTGCCTCGGTCCAGACCTGGCTCCGTGCTGCAGCTCGCGACGTACGGGGCGATCGAGGAGCTCAGCAGGATGTAGTCTATCCTGTGGTGCTGCCCCTTCGATCCGACGTGCGTATATGAGTTGTTGCCTGGATCCCTCGTGGTGTTGATGACCTCCATGTTGGTGTCGGCAGCGAAGCTGATGATGTGCTTGCCATTGCCGTTGGTCGCTTCTGGGTACCCACTGGCGCCAACTCCTGGGGACTCGTAGTCGCCAAGACGCCCGTTCAGGTCCCCCATGAAGATGTCCACTCGGTACTTGTCAGACAATCGCTGAGCAGACTCCCAGAATTCTCTCTTCTCCGCCGCGTGGGAGTCTTCGTGGGGTGCGTATGCGGATGCGATAACCGTATCTGTGCCTGCAACTCGGGTCTTGATGATCAAGAGCCTGTCGTGCTGGTGGAGGACGAGGGTGTCTTTGGCACTTAGGTACTTCGCTGCCCCACTCGCGCTGATAGGTTGGGAGACGTTGAGCCAGATGTCGCATCCTCTGTTCTGCTGCGTGTGGCCTGATGAGTAGCAAACGTATTCACCTACATTGCGGACGTCTCCTTCGCTCTGCGTCTCCTGCAGGGCGACGACGTGCAGGCCCATGTCAGCAAACTGTGCTGCTAGGTGCGTGACCTTGGAGAGGCTCTGCTTGCTTTTGCCGGCCGCCTTGCCTTTGCCCGACTTGAAGTTAACGGTAGCCTTGAGTGATCTGCAGTTGTAGGTGCACAAATTCACGTTGAGGTCGGCCTTGATGGTGGTGGTGCTGATGGGCCTCTGGATCGCTCCTGGGGCTGCCTGCGGCTGGGTGGCCTCGATGATGAAGTCTTTGTTCCGCAGGGGCGGGTATGCGGCCTTGACCGCATCTGGCTCTGATCGCAGCCATTCCCAGGAAAGGAACTTGTTGTGGGCGATCGCCTGTACAGCTGCAATGTTCGGGTCCATCAGGTCGCTGGCCGAGGCTTGATCTGCTATCCCATCTGCGAGCTCGTTCCAAGGGTGCCCGATGTGCGAGTTAATATGGTGCCACTGGGTAGGTCGGGCTTGCTGGAGGAGGCCTGCAAGTGTGCGAATGACGGCCCCCAACCTCGGATGTACGTGGCATTGGGCTTCGCCTTTGGCCAGGTTGATGACGTTGAGGGCGTCAGGCGTGATCTCGATGGGCGCGTCGGTGTCTTGACCGAGGGCCCACATCAGTGCCCAGAGTACTGCCGTGAGCTCAGCTGTGTATGCCGTCACCTTCTCGTTGTTTGCCATGTCGTCTAGGGTTTCGGTGACCTTGCCAGCAATGAAACCCCGAAAGCCGAACGGGCCTCGTAAGTTGCGCCCGTCGTCGTACTCGTCGACAATGACGACTGCCCAGGCGGCTGTATGTGGGATGCCGTTGTAGCTGCCGTCCGTGTAGATGTGTGTCCGCCTGGTCGGCAGCTCGCGTGATGGGCACATCTCCAGCGCCATCCTTGACATGCTGTGCAGGGTCGTAGTGTCGACGTCGTCGCAGACGTTGACGCGGCCTCGGCCGCGAAGGGTCTCGGCTACTGGGTCTTGGCTGAGAACTGGCAGCACTGTCGCTTGGCCTCTTTCTCGTGCTGTCGTGGTGGGGATCTGCCGTCGCCTTCGGCCACGCCTGGCCCTCTCTGCATTGACGTACTCGGGGGAGTACTCGATGTCGTCGCCTGGCGCCAGCCCCATGCCCTGTAGAATGGGACCTGGTGTGGTGGTGATGTGTGCTGGAGGTGGCCGTGGTGTCGGAGAACGTGTTGGTGGGGCTAGTGATATGGCTCCAGCCTGAGGCGCACTCCGCTTCACGGATGGTAGTGATGGCATTTGGTTCCCCTCATCGTAGTTCAAGTTGTCCGATCCAGCCCGCGCGGCCTGACTGAACAGGGGCTCGCGTGATTGAGCGTGGAGCATGCTGTCACGTAGACGATGAGGTTCGCCATCCAGGGCGTCTGGGTGGTTGGTAGCACCCGTGCCGTGGTGGGAGCGCGCTGATGCCGAGGGGAGCGTTGGCTTCCACCTGCTGGACCGTGGTGAGCTGCTTGGGTCCGTCGGGACTGGGGCCACTGGCGCTGCTGGTTGAGCTGCTGAGTCCGACGGGTCTGGATCCACCGCCAGGGCATGGTACTTGTTGTGGCTGCTGCTGTTGTCCCGACGACTGTGGCTCTCCGCAGCGCGCCGTGCGCGGCGTGCACTCCGCTGGGCTGATCGGAAGGCTGCGACTGCGCACGCTTGCCTCCAGTTCTCGTAGCGCTGCTCCATACCATCCTCTGCCTCGCTGCCAGCCGAGTTTTGACCGTCAAGAAAGGTCCTTTCCACGTTCTCGATCTCGTGGGCTCGGATGGCGGAGGGGGACACACTGAGTGCAAGGGCAGCCGGTAACGCATCCTTGCAGCCATCTTGGTGGCTTGTGACCTGGAGTGCTGACAGATTGGCGGATGCATCACTCATCCCTGGTAGTGTGCCTCCTTGGCTGCCGCCTAGCGCCCCTCGAGACGCGGCGGGCGGCCCTCGTGTCGGCCGTGGTGGTGTCACGTTGGCCCCTCGAGACCCCGGTGACTGATACCGCTGTTGATGCTGGCTGCTGCGATTGGGAGTGGCCATCCCACTGCCAATGCCCGTTGCGGTAGCACATCTGTTTGGAGTCGTGGCCCCTCGGGGCCCTGGACTCCTGGGAGTACCTGATCTGGTGCGTGAGATTGTCGGAATCTCCGCTGGTCTATTTGTTACAAGACGGCTGTCGCAATTACCCCCAGGGCCCGCCGTGCTTTCAAGCCTCTGGTGATGGGTAGGTCGAGCATCGTAGTGGAGGACCCCACTGCCGTGCTGCGGGCTTTGGGCCCCAGCTGCTCTCCCCGATGCTGCCCAGGAGATCGATGCTGTCAAACTGATCGGAGAGCGTGACGAAGTCCCACATCCGTCGTGCTCTGCCCTGTTGGACTCATCGGCCGCCTCCTGGCGGTGAATTCTGTCATGCCTGACCTGAAGCCTGGCGGCGCTGCTAGGCCCCCTCCCCCCCTCGGGGGGATTCAGCGGGCGCTGCTGCTGCCTGCTCCTCGGCTCCAGGAGTTGCAGGAGGGGAGGGGGTTGCTGTGCCCCTTGTCTCGTCCCTCCTGCGGGCCACTCGGCCACGAAAACGTGCTATGCCTGACTCTCCAGAGTCTACCCGCTGACCCTTGTGGGCCTGGCTAATGTCTTCTCCTGGAAATGCGGGCGCGGGTCCAAACGCCTCTTCGAGGGCTGCAGCTGCGGCGGCGGCTGAGGTGTGCTGGCGTGTCATGATGTCGATGCCCTCGCACTGCCTCTCGATGCTGGCCGCTGCCGCCTCCGCGTTCTGCTGGGACGCAGGGGGAGGGGTCAATGCGAAGCTGTCGGCTCCCTCTCCACCTCCATGGCCACGCTGCTCATCATGCCCAAATGGAACTGTGGGCGTGAGTGACCTCTCGCTGAGTGGCGCTGGCGATGCTGGGATGAAGATTACCTGAGATGCTGTCGGGGTAGGAGGGTCGCCTTGCTCTGCTGGTACCGAGCTAGCCCTTGACGTGGATGCCAGGTCTGTGTCTGCCTCGTGCTGCGTGATCCCCCTCATCTCCTCACCCTCCTCGGGTGTGGGGTGATCCTGGCTCCAGGGCGGCCACCTGGCGGGGTAGATCATCGGCGCGTGCTCCGAGCCGTCGTCCTCCGCTCGAGAGTCCTGCGTGCCCGCTGTGCCGAACTGGGTCAAGGGGGCCTCCTCGTAGTAGCGCCTTTGGATCTCCTTCGCCTCGTGGTCCCTCACTACGGACTCCAGCTCCTCCTCCATCTGTACGGCTTCCCATTGTGCTTTCTCATCAGCAGCTTGTCTGCGCAACTCATCTTGTTCGCGCTCGTATCTTTCTGCCTCCTCGTGCGGGTCTGGCCTGTCGGGGCTCCTGGACCTGTCACGCTCTATGAGGGGGGCGTCGCCTTCGTCGGTCTGGCGGGCTGCTGACCTGGCTGACCTGGTTGATGCTGGCCTCCGAGGAGAGGAGCTGCTCTCCCTGCGGCCCCTGTTGGCTGGGCGCTCCTCAGCTGCGCCAGTTTGGAGATTGGTCGCAACGGGGGGCTCCGCTGTGGCGGTCGCTGCCTCGGCTGCTCCTCTGGCTTCCTCGTACAAGTCAGCGGCCTCCTGGTAGTCGTCCATGGACTCCTGGGACGTTGGGAGGTGGCCCCCTTGGACGAGGTGATGAGCTGCCCTCTTGGTGAAATCGTAGCCCTCCTGCCCGTATTGCCTCATCTCGGCGCACAGGTTGACCATGGCCTTGCGTTCACGTTCCCTGCTGGCTGCAATGGCTTCCAGGCTCTGCATCCTCAGCTTTAGCTCCTCTGTCTCCGACGCGCCCTGCTGCTCCTTCTTTGCGATGGCGTCTAGCTCGGTGTGCAGCGTGCTGGAGCGCTGGAGGCTTTCTTGCAGCGCGAGGTGGATGGCCTCCTCCCTGCCCGTCCTCTGCTGGCTGGCGAAGTCTCCCATGGCGGAGGCCTCCTCCATGCTGGCGATCCTGAAGGTGAGGGCCTGGGCGAGCTCCTCCTCCAGCGCCTGCTCCTGCACCTCTGCGTTGGACCTTTGCTCGCTCAGCTGCACCGCGTAGCTGCTCAGTTCCTGTCGCAGGCTCTCTGTGTGCAGCTGCAAGTCATGTGCGTTCGCCTCTTCTATCATGACTTGGCGGGTGAGACTCGACCTTATTCGCTCAGCACTGCCTTCGAGCTCTGCCCGCATTGCCTCCTTGTCCTTCAGGCTGGCCTTCGCGATCTCCTCCTCCTCTGCTCTAGTCCTTAGCAGGGCGAACTGCAATGCCTGCACCTCGTGCGGGATTTGCCGCTCCTTGTTGGCGCTTCTCAGCTCCGCTGCTTCATGGTATGCCACTTGTACTGCGCGCTGCGCAGCGCCCGCCTCAAGCTTGGAGTACTGCTGGAGCTCGTATATGCGGGCTTCAGCTGCCTCGAGCTCGCTTTTGGTCTGCTTGAGCCGCTCCTGCTGCCGTGCTGCTGTCTGGACGACCCCTTGCAGCCTGGCCGCCTCTGCCGGCGGGAGGGCCCCTTTTCCCTTGGCATTGGCAACCGCTTGGGCCTGGGCGATTGCCTGGACCCTGGCTGATTCGGCGGCAGCTTCAATCTCGAGGGCGTGGTTCTTTTTGGCCTCCTGGAACTTCTCTTCCATGACCAGCTCCTGCCTGGCGAGCTGCTGCTTGAGAGTGCCCGCTGTAGCTGTCGCTTGGGCGCTCTCGTGCTGGGCCCGTCGCAGTGCCTCTTGCGCCTCGGCTCTTGCCCGCAGCAGGTCTTGGTGGACCCTGTCCTGGGGTTGCGGCTTCTCCCGGTGCTCCGCTCGAACTTGCTCAAGCTGCTCATGCAGGTGATTTGCCCGGTGGGTCGCGGCTTCGGCCTCTGCCTTGGCTTGACTGAAGGCTGCGTCATGGCTGATTATCCTGGCCTCCATCTGCATCGCGAACTCGAGCTGCTCGGCTTGTTGCCTCTTGATTTCATGGCGGAGGGCCTGGTGTTGCTGCTGCTGCTGCTGCTGGGCTGCGCTCTCCGCTGCGGTGATGCGCTGCAGCTGCTCTGACTCCTCCTTGAGTGCCAGCCTGAGTTTCGCCTGCTCGCCGTTGTGGCGGAGTGCTTGTTCTCGGGCGACCCTCCTGACTTCCGCCAGCTCGGCAGCAAACTCTTGCTCGGCTTCGGCATGGCGCTGCTGCTGGTGGGCCCGCTCCGCATTCGCCTTGGCCACCTGATCTGCGAAGCCTCTGGTTGCGCTGCCTGCCGAGCTGGCTCTTGAGCGTGGCGATCGCCCCGCCACCCCCGCTGGCCAAGCTGAGAATCCGTCACCAGGTGCTTCGCTGTTCAGGCGCCTGTCAATCACGGCCTTGTGGAAGGCATCCCAGCTCGGTGCCAAGCCGAACCCGTCCGCGCCCCAGTCGCCCTCGTCGTCCGCCGCGCCGCCGTCGGCGAGCACGGCCCGCACGTCGGCGATGTTGGACTCGAGCTGCCTCAACTCCTGCTGCTTGGCCTTGAGGTCGTCCCGCAGCTCGTTCGTCTTGGCCTCGAGGGCGATGACTTCGAGTTTGACGGCCTTGCGCCTCTTGCTGAGCACCTGCAGCTGGTCATTCGGCCTTCTCGTGACCAGCTTCTGATACTTGATGACCGCGATCTCCATCAACTGCTCCTCCGTGCTGTCCCCCGCGGCCTGCTTGGCAATGACCAGGTCGCCAAGCTTCCTCAGCCTCTGGTCGGCGGTGCTCAGAAACCTCTGGATGCCTGCGCGGTCGGCCGGGGGCGCCTGCCACTTTGGGTGGGTGGTGGCCTCGTCCAGCGTGCATGCCGCCACTGAGTCGATGACCTTTTGAGCTCGCTGGTCCGCTTTGCTGGAGCTGGCCTGGCCACCCTTGCCCGCCCTGGGCTGCTGCTGCTGCTGCTGCCAGGGAGGCTGACTGGGCTGCTGCTGCTGCTGCTGCTGCCATTGGCGAGGGCTGGCCTGGCCAGAACGACGTGGCCGCGACGGCTCCCTGCGCCAGGGCGGGTCCTCACCTGCTGGCTCGGCGTGCCAGTGCTGCTCTCGCCAGCCAGCGCCATGCCACTTCTCCTGGCGCCATGGGGGCGCTGCTGGCGGTGCTGCTTCCTCCTGGGCCTGGCCCTTGCCGCTGCGGCCGCCACCGCCTCTGCCCTTACCGTCACGGGCCATCGCTGGCTGGGCAGAGTGGTGGGCGGCCAGGCGCTCGGCCGCTGCCCGCAGGCGGAGCAGGAGCCTGTCCTGGGCCTTTCTGCTGCCGCTCGCGGCGGTGGGCAGCGCCCTCTGGACCTCCTCCTCGGCGATGTCGCGGCGTCCCGCCGCTGGGCCGCGGCGCGGCCGCGAGCGCCGCGGCCTGCGGCAGGGGACAGGGAGGCACGGGTGGCCCCCTGCCGCAGAATATGGCGCGCGGCGCGCGTGAGCCCGGCCTCGGGGGCTGGCCGATGCGCGATGCGCCCTGCCACCGCGATCGATCGGGCGGCAGGCGCCGACCGACCCCGATGGATCGATCGGGATCGGCTGGCCCCAAGAGGCCACATGGCTTTCCTCCTCCTCCTCCTCCTCCTCCTCCTCCTCCTCCTCCTCCTCCTCAATAGTCCTCCCCACCGTCCGCATCATCATGCTCATTGTATTCCTCCTCATATCCATGCTGCTGCTACTGTTCCTCATCCCGAATACGATCCTCCACCCGTCAATATCATCCACCTTTTCGTACTCCTCCCCCTCCTCCTCTTCCTTCTCCTCATGCTCCGCGGCATCGGCATCATCATGATCATCAGCATGATCATCACCATCATCATTATCACCAGCAGCATTATCACGTCATCATTATCGCCATACAAATCATCATATTCCTCCTTCTCCGCAAAAGCATTGTCAACATCATCTTCGTCGTCGGCCTCGTCACCAGCATCATAACCATCCTCACAATTATCACCATCACCATCATCATCATCACCATCATCATCATCATCATTTGCATCCGAATCATCATCATTATCAGTATCGTCATCATCACCATCAGCTTCGCCATTTTCAGCAGCATCACCAACAACACCAGGATCATTAGCAGCACCATCCTAGTCGCCGTCAACGACATAATCAGCATTACCAGCACCTCGACCACCATCATCACCATCCTCGTTATCCTCCTCCTCATCCTCCTCATCATTATCATCCTGATAATCCTGCTCCTCATCTTTTTTCTCCTCCTCCTCCTGCTGATCATCATCATCCTCATTCGAATCATCAGCATCACCACCATCATGATCATCATCAGCATAACACGTATCATCATCACCAAACTTAAGCTCATCGTCGCCATCATCATAATGATGGCCATCATAATAAGCAGCATCATCAGCATTACTAGCATCGGCATCGTCACCATCATCAGCATCATCAATTTCATCACCATCGTCGTAATCGTCGTCAAAAACCGTTACCACCACCATCACCGTCACAACCATCACAGTCTTCATCGTCAGCATCATCTTCATCACTAGCATCATTAAAATCAACATCGTCAGTAGCATCAACATCATCAGCGTCACCATCATCAGCATTATGAACATCATCATCATCGTCAGCATCAGCATCATCACCATCACCATCATCGTCATCGTCATCATCGTCAGCATCAGCATCAGCAGCCGCATCGTCATCATCATCAGCAGCAACATCATCATTATCATCAGCATCATCTTCATCAACATCAGTAACATCATCATCCTCGTCATCATCATCACCACCATCACCACCATCATCGTCATGATCTTCAGTGTCAGCATCATTGCCGGCAGCAATCATCATCATAATCATCAGCAGCAGCATTGCCATCGTCATCGTGTTCGTCATCGTTATCGTTATCGTCGCCGTCATCGCCATCATCATCATCAGCAGCAGCATCGTCAGCGCCATTGTCATCGTTTTCGTCATCAGCATCGTCATCGTCGTCATCATCGTCGCGATCACCATCAACGTCATCATCATGATCATCATCAGCGTCATCATCGTCGTCGTCGTCACAAGCATCATCATCACAATCATGCTCATCATCATGATCAAGATCATCATCATCATCATCATCAGCAGCAGCAGAAGCATCATCATCCTCAACATCATCATTATCAGCAGCATCATCGTCATGAGCATCACCATCAGTATCATAATCAGCAGCAGCATCATCATCGTCATCATCACCATCAGCTTCGTCATCATTATCATCATCAGTATCACCATCCTCATCGCCATCTCATCATCATCATCATCATCATCATCATCATCATCAACATCATCAGCATCATCAGCATCATCATCATCATCATCATCATCATCATCATCATCATCATCATCATCATCGTCAAAGTCATCGTCATCAGCACCAGCATCAGCATCAGCATCATCAGTTGCATCAACATCATCATGGAAATTGGAATGATACTCTGGGGGCGTCAACAGAGAGCAGCTGAACAGCCCCGCCCCCCGTGGCAGCAACGCCTGCCCCCCATGGCGGCGCTCACAGCCGCCTCCGCCGTCGCCGCAACTGTCGCGTCGTCCGTCGTGCGCCGCCGACGCCGTCGTCGCCACCGCCGCTGGCAGCGACGCAGCCGCCGTCGTTGAGTCCGCAGCTCGCCGCCGCCGTCGCCCTCGTCTGCCGTCCGTCGTCGCCTCGCCTTCAGTAGACTTTGACGCTCGCCACGCCACAAAAAAGGCAACCCGCCGCCAGCATCCCTCCCCCCATCCTCCCCCCTCCTCCTCCCTCCCTCCCCATCCCCTTCTCACTCCATTCCTCGTCCCTCCTCGTCCCTCCTCCCCGCCTCGTCTCCCCTCCCATGCCCCCCCCTTCCCCCTCCTTGGTCCCTTCCGACGATGGTGTCACCTCATCTCCCCTCGCGCCTCCAGCCCGAGCCGCGGCTCTGCGCAGAGCGCCGCCGAGGCGGAGATCAGGACGGCCACCTCGCCTCGCGGCGCGGGGGGGGCCAGGGGCGCAGAAGGCCGGCGATGACGACGACGTCGATGATACGAGATTGGGATGTCGAGGCCTTCTGTGGGAACTCACTGGAGCCTCCCATGCCGTCTTGATGACTCTTGGGGGTCGACGATAACCGACGCTGGTCGACGCCAAATCTGTGTTTTCTCATCGAGGACCAGACGCTAGCGAATGCGAATGCATTCTGAAGACGGAATCGCGAGGACATCCAAGGCTCGCATGATTTGCTACCGAAGAGTCCCTAATTGAGGGAGCAAACGGCACACGCTGGCGTCGTGAGCCGGTCTGGACTCGACACGGCACAATTGGCACTCGGCGCCCTGCCTCTGAAGTTGGGCGGCTCGCCCAGGGTGGGGGGAGGTGGGAGGGGGCATGCCTTCTCAGATGGCGTGGGGCCTGTGACAGACCGTGCGGTGACCTCGGAAGCCCAAGAGACCTCACCGCACGGTCCGTCACAGCACGGTTTTGGGACCTCGGAGGCCCCAGTCGCCCGAGACGTCCTCGGAGAGCGACTCGAGTCCCAGAACTGTGCAGTGACCCCGAATCCCCACCGACTCACCGCAAGGTGTGGTCACCACCCCTTTGGGGGGCCCCCGACCTTCTCAGAAACCCTCCGGCCCTCCGAGAAGCCGCCGGAGAAGTCTCAGAAAACGTCCCAGACGGCCCGGGGCCCTCCGAGCCTGCCGAGAAGGCCCGCGCCCCCCTGCGTGACCCCCTGGGCTCGACGCCGAGAAATGCCGTGGCGCAGGGGGCGTTAACGAACCCACTGCGTGCGCCTGCTTTCTCGGGCGCCCCGAGTGCGCCCCGAGCGGCCCGTGCATCTTGCGAGCGTGCCCGGCGTCGGAGCCGAACCAGCCTGCGTGCGGTGCCGCGCGAGGTGCGACAACATGAGGGGCTCCCGCGCGGCCTCCGTGGAGAAGGGCAACTCTGCAGACCAGAGCGCGAAGCGCGGGCCGCATTCGTGCTCCCGGATGCGACGCGGGCTCATCCGCCCCCGCCCCACCCGGAGAGCCGACGGAGAGACGCACGCGCCCAGCAGAGTGCATGAACACGGCCCTCCTGCTCAAAAAGGCGACTTCGCCTCGTGTTACGAACGCGCGCGCAGCGCGCACTCTCGAAATCCGCGACACACCGACAGACAGACAGACAGACAGACAGACAGACAGACAGACAGACAGACAGACAGACAGACAGACTCTGCGCACCAAGTCTGTTCGGGGAGGAGCATTAACAAGGGCACATGCAAACCCGCGCCAGCACACAGGCGCAGCCTGCTGCTGGCGCCCCACCCCGGGGGAAATCCCAGCAGGACTTCTCCCAGGGGGCGGGAATTGCCCGCGCCCAAGCCGACGCCCCAGCGGCACCCGCCCTACGCCCTACGCCGCCCTCCTGCCGCCGGCCAGCGCAGCAGGTGGCCGCCCGCCAAGCAGTGCGCCGCCGCCGCCGCCGGGGCGCCAGGCGCCCGAGGCGCTGCCGCCGCCGCCAGGTCGCCAGGTCGCCAGCCGCCCGAGGCGCCGGCCCGCCGCGCCTGGCTCCACGCCAGCTCGCGGCAGCGGCGCAGCGCCGGCTCGCGGTGGCGCCCGGCGCGGCAGACTCCGGCGCAGCCAGCCGAGCAGCGCCGCCGCCGTCCGCGCCGCGCCGCGCCGCCGCCGCCCACGTCGCGCCGCGCCGCGCCGAACAGCGCGGCCGCAGCCGCCGTCGCCGCGGGAGCCTCAGGCCCCCCGGCGCCGCAGTCGCCGCCAGCGCCCCGGCGCCGGCGCGCCGCCGCCGCCGCCGCCGCAGCTGCCCCAGGTGGCCAGGCGCCAGCGCGCCGCCCGCGGTCGGCTCAGCGCAAGCCAGCGGCCGCGCGCAGCTGCCGCGCCAGCTCGCCCTGCTGGCCGCAGGAGAGCACGCGGTGCGCGCGGGCGAGCTCGCGGGCCCGCTCGGCGTCAGGCAAGCGTCGCACCTCTGCCTTCAACCAGAGGCGCGCCTCGGCCCCGAGCCGCCCCCCCGCCTCGAGGATGATCGGGGTGAGGCGCTCCCCCGGGTAACGAGCGTGCTTGTCTCGCTCTCCGCGCCGGCTCGCCTCGCCGTCGCGACGGGCCGCGACCCGCTGCTCCGCCTCGGTGCCCGCGGCGGGGCCGCGCGGACACGTCGAGCCAGCGACGTCCGTCGTCGTCCTGGAACTCGAGGTCGAGCACGGCGCGCTCTGTCTCCCCGGGGCGGCCCGGCTTCGGCCTGTCCCAGAGCGGGACCCGCTGCGCGTAGAGCGGGAGCTCGTGCCTCCAGCGCCGTAGCAGGCCGCCGAGCCGCCGAGCCAGCCGGCCGCGCCTGCGCACCACCCCGCCGCCGCCTCTGGCAAGTGGCGCCGTGGTAGCCGAGGTCGTCCAGCGGCTCCCCACAGACCTCGCCGCTGGCGTTCTGCAGGCAGCAGTGGGCCGTCGCCGCCGCGAGCTGGTCCCGGGAGCACTCGGGCCTCCGGAGGTGCAGCCGGAGGCGAGTAGCCGTCTCCCAGCGCGCGTCCTCCAGCGCGCAGAGCGCCTCGGTGGGGTAGCCCAGGAAGGCTGCCGCGCCCGGCCCAGCTTGCCCTCGCAGAGTGGCTTGTTGGAGGAGGGGCAAACGCTGCAGGAGTGCAGCGTGGTGTGTTTTTTGCACCTTCTCCATAGCCAAGCCCTGCTTGAGCTCGCGCGCCAGGCTGTCAGCCAGCGTTCCGCCGTCCGCCAGCAGCAGCCCCTGCCCGGCCAGGCCCTGCCTCGCTTCCTGCAGCTTGCGCGCGGCGGCAGGCAGGCGCTCCAGGGCGTCGTGCAGCGAGCTGCACCCCAGGTCTCTCACTACCTCCTCGGCCGCGCCAGACCAAGAGGTAGGCGGCGCTCCGCCGCGAGCAGGCCAGCTGCCCCCCGAGGCCGCCAAGGCGCTTGGGCAGGCTCAAGAGCTCCCTGGCTTCGCCGCTTAAGTCGCGCCTCAGCAGCGTCTCCCAGCAGCGCGTTAGCCGGGCGTCGTAGCGCTGGGTGGCTTCCTCGCTTGCCAGCTCCTGCCGCAGGGCGTGCTGGCTGGCGGCGCCGGCGTAGGTCAGCAGCAGCGCCCCAGTGGCTTGCTTTGCCAGGCCCGCCTGGTGGAGCCGGTAGAGCGTGTCCCAGAGCTTCCGCAGCCGCAGGGTCGCCGTGTCAAGGTTGTTGGCGCGCGCCCCGATGGCCGCGGGGTTGTCCCTGTGTCCCCCCGCGGCCTGAGGTGCTTGCCAAGCACCGGGAGAACTGCCACGTAGTGGGGCCGCAGTGCAGGCGGCACGACGGCGCCCCCGCTCGGGGACCAGACCGCAGTCTTCCCGTGGTTGAGCTCCAGGCCGTAGGGCTCGAGGGCAGTCTCCAGGGCAGCGAGGGTGGCAGGGGAGAGGCCGGCCTCGACCACCAGGTAGGTGTCGTCCAGGTAGGAGTAGAGCCGGGCAGCAGGGTCCAGCCTCTGGAGCTCCACCCAGAAGTCGGCGAGAGCCTCGCGCTGCGCCACCGAGAAGCCAGCGGGAGAGAGCGGGTCGCCTTGGTCGAAGCCCCTGCTGCTTGGCACCTTGTGCAGTGCGCCGCCGGCGTCTCTCCAGTAGTGGTCCACCGGGCCCCCGTACCAGGTGGCCAAGGCGGCGGCCACTGCAGGGTCGTGTCGTGCCATTGCTGCGGTGGCAGGTTGCCGCCTTAAGGTCAAGCTTCAGGAAGACGGCGGTGGGGCGGGCCTCCGCCTGTGCCTCGAGGCACCGCAGTAGGAGGTCCGCGCTCTTCTTCCTCCCCACGCCGTACTGCACTCGCCAGCAGCGGCCGCCAGCCGCTCCTGGCGGACCGGGACCAACGCCCGCAGGCCGAGCCGCCGCCAAGCCGAGCTCACCAGCAGAGGCCGGACCTCGTCCGCACCTTTTTCGAGGGCGATGACCTCGCCGACCCGCAAGGCTTGCAGCGTCCCAGCCGGAAGAAGGCCGAAGGTGACCCAGGAGACCGCCTCGGAGAGAAGCTGTAAAGTCTCCTGGCTGGCCGCTGCCGTCTCCAAGTGCTCCAACCTCGTTCCGAGCAGGCCCGGGGCAGTGAGCCGAGCTGGTCTGCGAAGGAGGCGCCGGATCTCCTCCTGCACCGCCTCGAGCAACTCCTCGTCCGGCTCCGAGCGGGCGCCTGGGGCGGCCGGCGCGGCAGCGTCCTCAGGGAAGCACTCGAGGACCTTTTTCAGGGTCTCCGGCGTTCGCGGGGCGAGCTTCGCGCTGGTGGCTGCCGTCAGCGCTCGTCCCTCTTCCCCGGAGGCGGCGAGAGTGTGTACCCGAGCCGCTAGCTGTTTGTCGGTCTGCTCGCGGCTCCTCCTCGGGACAATCCTGCCAGCCCGGGTGGAAGCCCAGAGGGCTGCCCACTGCCCGCCCCAGAACCACGCGAGCCTTTCCTCGAGCAGCTCCCCACACGTAGCCGCCTCGGACGACTTGGACAGGAGGAGCATGTCCATGAGTAGGACAAGTTTCCACTCGCTCTCGGCCTCCGAAGTCCCACGGGCACGCTTGAGGACCTCCAGGGCCTTGTGCCGCGCCTCCTGGAGGGCTCCTCGGAACCGGTCCGGGACCTGCACGAATGTCGTCGTGCCAGCTTTGAATGCATCTCCCCAGCGCAGCGTGTCCCACCAGGCGGCGTCGGGCAGGAGCTGCTCCTCCCAGGCTGGGTGCAAGGGCGCGGCGTGCTGGCCAGCGTGGAGCGCTCCGGCGCCCTCTCCAGCGGCCGCCCCAGCCGAGGCAGCTCCCGGGGCTGCCTGTTCGGGAGCGGCCTGCACACGCATCCGGGCTGCGTCGGCATCCTCCTGGGTGGCGCGTCCGAGGGGCTTGAACTCGGCCCCCTGCGGCACGGTCCCAACCAAGCAGATTGTGCACTCCCACCGCGCACTTGCGCGAGCACCCCAAGGGCATAAGCGGAGCTCGCCGGCGCCGAAGACGAGCCCGCACGTCTTGCAAGTGGCCGGGCGCGTTGTCTGCGGCTGCACGCCCACTGCCCAGAATGCTGCTCGACGCCGGCGTCGACTCGCCGGCTCGTCGACTGCCATGTCACCCTGTGCTCCAGGCTCAGCATCACGCATCGAATCCAAGCGCACGTCCTCTGCCATTCGGCACCCTGGAGCGCGCGCGCGGGGGCGCGCGGGGGCGCGCGGGGGTGCGCGCTTGAGCCTTGAGCCAAGACAGACAGACAGACAGACAGACAGACAGACAGACAGACAGACAGACAGACAGACAGACAGACAGACAGACAGACAGACACGCACGGGGGGCACCCAATTGCGCGGAGGCAACGGGTGGGCGACAGGGCGCCGACAAAAAAGAGGGACCGGTCGCTCGTGGGCTGGAGTCGGGCAGGAGGGTCAGGAACATTAGGGATAGGTTTGTTCCTGCAGATGTATGACATCAGACCGCCCAAACCATGATCACTAACGTGAAGACGGAGACCACGTAATGCCGCGTCTGCATCGTGCTATCAAGGCTCGGGCCTCTATTTTGTTCTCGAGGCAAGCAGGAGCCAAAAAGGGACAGGCGGGGCCAGGAGTCGGAAGACCGACCAAACTGCGCGCCGGAGCCGGGGCCTCTCGTGACTGGAGAAATTGCACGCGCGTCTTTTGACCGCAACTGACCACCGCGCCGCACCCCGGGCGCGCGGCCGCGGCCTCTCTCCTGCCATGCCCGCCAGGCAAGGGGCCAAGCAGCCAGCGCTGCCCGCCGGCCTCCCGGCACGGCTTCGTGGTAGGACCACCCCAAAGCTCGATGGCGGCCCGCGGCTCCGCGCCTCCTCAAAGGACCACCCCAAAGCTCGATGGCAGGACCACCCCAAAGCTCGATGGCGACCCGGGGTGGGACAGAAAGAGGAACAACCACGATGTATCGGACGTCCGCACGGACATCTCGGATCGGCGCTGGACCCCCTCCCTGGCACGCGGAGCGCGCCAGGCAGGCGCTGCCAGGGGGCACAACGCCTAGCCACGAAATCCGCGAGGACCTCCGACAAATTATGTTTGCGCCATCACTTTTAGGTCGGGCATGTCCCCCTACAGGCGGATCTTGGACGAAAAATTGAAAATACTTCAGGGACATTCAAGCATATTCTAAAATAGTCACAAAATCGTCCCCAGACTATTTTTGTACTATTTTTGAATAGTCCTCCTGTAGAGGGACACGCCCGACTTAACAATACTTGCTGCTCGATCCTCGCAATGCTACGCCCCGGCCAGCTCCAGGTGCCTGGTCCGGATCTCGACCACTGGCGGCCCCATCTGCGAGGACCCCGCGTACGAGAGGAAGATTTGAGCAGGGACCGACCGTCCCGGCATTCCTAAAGGCATACCACGCAGTGTTTGTTTCAACAAAACGATGGTCTGAGAACAGAGGAACCTTAAAACAACACTGTCTCATCCAGAAATGTTATATGAATCTTTCTTGCAAACCGCAAATGGGTTCTGAAAAGATTATTCGGTTGGCCTTCAGGCAAGCCGGTACGCTTCGCCACTGCTTGATGCCCAGGGCCGCGTCCGAGTCCAGCGGCATGGCCACGCCCGCGGAGACGCCCAAAGCCTCCCCCAGCAACCCCGCCGCGGCCTGCTCTGGAAACGCAGCGGTGGCCTGCGCGCGCAGCGCCCCCAACGTCGCCCGCGCGCCGAGGGCAACCCTGGCCTCGGAGGACACAAGGGCACCAATGCCCCGAGGGCCCCCAAGAGAATTCTGATGCTTCACGTTCACGGTAGCCGCCGTTACCAACCCCACCCGCGCCCCCCCAAGGTAGCATCACGATTCGTGCTGACCTCCGAACTGTCTTTGGTTATTCGTAGACGCTCCCAAACGGCGCAAGCGCGAAGCGTGACGTTACCGCCCGTTGCCCAAGAAATCAATATCTCTCCCCATACATCGTGGTGACCACACCGCGTGGTGAGTCAGTGGGGATTCGGATCACCGCACTGCTTTGGGGCTCAGGGTCGTTCTCTGAGGGCGTCTCGGGCGTCTGGGGCCTCCAAAGTCCCGGACCCGTGCGGTGAGGGACCGCGCTGTCAGGTCACTGGGGATTATGCGATCACCACGCGGTCCGTCACAACACGGTGCTAGTGCCTCCGTATACCGATACTGCCCTGGGGTATGTACATGGACAACAAACAATCAACATAAACGTAAACTGTCGGAGAGGTCTGCGCAGATTCTTGGAGAGAGGCTGAAGTATTACGAAGAAAAAATCAATGAATGTTGGATGGTGTCATACAGGGTGGAGGACATATGGTATACCTCGTTCGGTTGCGGTAGGCTCATGGTGCCCATCTTTGGTGCTTGAAAGGTTTATGGTGCCCTTGGGTGTCCACAGGGACTTGGCAACCCCCGTACTTATGGCGGGGAGGTGGGTGGACGGGCCGCCCCCGCCCCCCCCCCACCTGGCGTTGCACCTAACTATTGCGCCAGGGGTGGTGGGCGGAGCGCACCCCCACCTGGCGCGCGGAGCGCGCCGGGAATCCAAAACATCTGCGCGGTCCTCCGGAAAGTGATGCTTCCTTCCCTTTCCTTTCCTGATGTGGCCTCCGCCGCAGGCCCGCCTCTTCGCCCCGACCCCAACCGCAGCCGCACCACCGCCCCCGGCAGCGCCCGCTCTACCTCGGAGCCAGAGTCGAACTCCGCGTCCCCGGCACGCGTAAGCTCCTCGGCCTCGCCGTCGCCCTCGCGCGCCGGCTGAGGCTCCGCCAGGTCCGCGCCAGACCCTGGTGGGTTTTTTTAAAATTCGGCGTTGCGACATTGGGCGGAAGGGGGAGGTCGGGCTCCGGACCTCTGCTTGGTGCGACTTTTTGGAACCGTGCACCCACCTCGGGATCATGGGGGGGACCCCACCTGCTCGGAACAGGCGCAAAAAACAGACAAAATCTACTCCATAAGGGGGTGGGAACGGGGTGCGAGGGCCCGCGCCGACCGGCAAAACAAGGAATCAAAAATCCGGGCGAAGGACCCTATCATATGTAGTTGTGGGTGCCGCAAGTTTGAATACTTTGTTCGGTGACGGTCCCTATTGGGCCACGAAGCGCTGCACCGGGCGGGGGGGGCGCATGCGGGCGGTAGCACTGGGGCCGTCTGTGGAGCTCCCTATGGGGCCACGAATCGATGTGCTGTGTGGGAGAAGGTGCCAAATTGGGTGTGTGGGGCGGACGCGGGCGGTCCCACTGGGGCCGTCGGTGGAGCTCCCTATGGGGCCACGAAGCGCCGTACTGGGTGGGGGGGGGAACGCATGCGGGCGGTAGCACTGGGGCCGTCGGTAAAGCTGCCTATGGGGCCACGACGCGCTGTACTGAGTAGGTGAAGATGCCAACTTGGGTGTGTGGGGCGCACGCGGGCGGTCCGCAATGAGTCGTCCACTCCACCGCTCGCGCAAACATCCCACCCACCCACCCGCAACATGGTTTGCGAAACCCATGCGGCGGCGATTGCGATAAGTGCATGGTGTTGGCTGGTGCATCTCTGCGGCCGCGCTAGCCCGCGTATGCTCGCGCGCGCAGTGGCCAGCTAGTTTGGCGCGGCCGACGCGAACGCGGTGGCGCTGACCGCTCGGCACAACCCAGCGGGCACTTCAGTGCGGGTCGGCGACTTGGGCGGGCGTGGTATCATGGCCACGTCGACAACTGCAGACACGAAGATGATAGTCAATGCTGGCGACGATGATGACAACAACGAAAGGGCTGTCGGTGACGGCGCCGACGCTGATCACGTCGACAACGATGCCGGCGTCGTCGCGTCGGTGATGAATGTTTTGAAACGAGTTCGACACGCGCGCGCCGCAGACGCGCAAGAGCAGCCCGCTATTATTCAACACGGATCGTGCCCCCCCCCCCAGACGCGCGCAAGGGCGTTCGAACGATTTCGACATGCGCGCGCGAAGCCCGTTTGGTAGCATGTTCTGAACATGTTAAAAACCTAAGACTCCCTTGAGAATTCGCAGGAGAGCGCGCGAAAGTTTGTTTTGAAAATCCGTGTTGCGAAACCCTGTGTTTTTGTATGTATTTTGAACACTCAAGTTCGAAACCCTTCCGAAACCCAAGGTTTTTTAAGGATGTCGGCATTCTCGCGACGTCGCGCGCGTGTGAATGTCGTTTCATGTGTTGCAATGGATCCTTGAAGAGGGCCACGAAACGCTGTACTGGGTGTGCGGGACGCATGCGGACGGTATCACTGGGACCTTCGGTGCGGCTCCATTTGGGGCCACGAAACGTGAGGGGTGTGCTGAAACGGGTGGTGATGATGATGCTGCTGATGATGATGATGCTGATGATGATAATGTTGTTGATGATGATGATGATGTTGATGATGATGGTGATGATGATGATGATGATGATGATGATGAGGATCATGATGATGATGGTGATGATGATGATGGTGATGGGTGATGGAGGAGAGGGAGGAGGTGAAGGACAAGCTAGGTGCGCGCGCGTCATATCTGACGTCCTACCCCTCCCTCCCATCCCTTACCATGGCGCTGATTTTCTCTATCCGCGGACTAGTGGGTGGTGGTGCGCGTGCGTGCGTGCGTGCGTGTGTGCGTGGTTGTGGTGGTGTGGTGCTGGTGCTGGTGCTGGTGCTGTGGTGGTGGTGGTGGTGGTGGTGGGTGGTGGGTGGTGGGTGGTGGGTGGTGGTGGTGGTGTGTGTGTGTGTGTGTGTGCGTGTGTGCGCGTGTGCTGTGGCATGGCACGGGAAATGACGCCAGCGCTGCAGCGGGAGCACGAGTCGAAACGGGCGGAAGCGCGGAAATGAGGCCAACGCTGCAGCGGGAGCACGATTCGGAACGAGCGGAAGCACGGAAATGAGGCCAGCGCTGCAGCGGGAGCACGATTCGGAACGAGCGGGGCCCGAAAAAGAGGCCGGCGCCTCGGCGAGAGCAGCATTTTGAAAAAAAATGCAAGCGAAAACCCAACTCCCGGGAATCCTGTGTGCAAAAAAGCAGGACGCGGGGGGGGTCGGCTACTTTCAGGCCGCCATCGGGGGAAGAGGGAGAGTAGTATTCATATTGAGTAATTGTGGAGAACGCGGGGACCGTCTTTTCAAAACGAGGACCCAACACCACAGGATGGCTGGGAAAAAAACGATCACCTGGCACCCACCGACGCGATTGTTCCAACCCTCGGTCCCATGCAGGCATCCCAAACCCCTCCGAAGGAGTAGCCTCTCGCCCTGGATCCATCTCTGATGGCCCCGAGGCCCAGAGGCGGCCCCCCGAGGCCGAAATCGAGGAAACGCGCCCGGGCTGAAAAAAGGCACCGTCGGAAGCGGTTGCAGGAACAAGCCACGGCATGAATATTGAATGCCCCAGGAGCCCACGCGGACTTCTCGGATCAGCGCTGGACCCCCACCCTGGCGCGCGGAGCGCGCCAGGGGCGGCGCCGGAGGCGCCGCCTGGGGGGCCCCTGCGCTGATCTAAAAAAATCCGGGCGGACCTCCGAGAAATCGTGTTTCTGGGTATTACTGGAAGTCCTTCTGGTTCAGGGTGCCCCCAGGATCTCCAAGGAGGCCCCCAGGCCCTCCAGAGCACCCCTCACGACATCGAGCAGAAAACGAAGGGCCCATTGGGCATGGGACACCTTCAGCAAAGCCCGACCTCTTGCTCTCCTGATGCCTCCATCCTCGGAGGCTCCTGCGTCCAAGACCTTTTCCGGGGGTGCCCTTTCAAGTGGGGAGGGTGGGGAGCCGTCGGGGCTGTCCCTGGGCCGAGGCGCAGATAAGGAGGAGGACGAGGAGGAGAAGGAGGACAAAGAGGTTGAGGAGGGGCAGGAGGACTTGGCGGCGCGCACACGGAAGTAAGGGGAGGGGGGAAGGCTTCTTAGAAGGAGGCTGCTTCTTAGAAGACGCCGATAGGTAAGGCCCGCGCCTTCTGAGCAGCAAAGGTGCTTCTTTGAAACCTTCACCCTCTCCCCCTACCCCTTTTGCGCGTGGCTGCAATCATTCAGACGAGTTCTGGGATCTTCTGACCCGGGTCAAACCAGACCCAGGTCAGTTCGGCTTACACGATCCCATCAAATCCTCCTGGATCCTGCAGGGTCCTGCACGCTATAGCCCGGAGCAATGCAACCCTGGCTTAGCAGGACCCGGCGCTCTGGCTGACCCCCGTTTGCACGTTCCCCCGCCTCTTGAGCCCCGAGGGCCCCCCCGTGGGGAGCCGCCCAGTTTGCGGGGATGTCTTGAACAGTTTGCCGAGCCCTGCTAGGGGGCCACATGCGAACCCTACCCCTACCCCCCACGATTTCTGAGGGGGAGGGTGGGGTTCACTTCGCTCGGGACGTCCCGAACGGAGTGAACCCCATCCTCCCCCCCAGAAATCGTGGAGGGTATGGGTGGGGTTCGCATGTGACCCCCTACCTGCCCTCCGGACTCCTCTCTTGAGAGCCCCGTGACCGCCGAGAAGGATCTTTCTAGGGAGGAGCCCCGGCGCGCCGGCGCCGCTTGAGAGCGGGCGCATCTCCGCAGGCAGGCGCCGGAGCGGCGGCCCGAGGCACAGCAGCCGCCAGCGGAGGCTGGCCCAGGGGCCTGGCGCCAGGTCCGCGTACTGCCCGCCCGCGGCGCCACCGCCGCCCAGCGCCGTCTGCAGCACGGGGCCGTCGAGCCCGGACTGCGCCGGCCTATCACCGAGAGCCCCTCGGGGCATGAAGCAACCACTGCGATAGGAGGCAGCTACTGGGAGGTCGTCGGCAGATTAAGCCCCATTGGGAGGCTGCTACTCCGCGTTAGGCGGCGGATTAAGCAGGAGTCGGCCAAATTAAACAGGATCCAGCTGAATTTAAAGAGATCAAGCGAGGTTAAGCCGGAATGAGCCAGATGCCGGACTAGGGCAAAATCAGAACTTCACCTCCCAAGAGTTGCATCCGAAATGGCGGGAGGTGCTCTTTACACACCCGACAAATTGGGGCTGCCATATGTCAAGCACACGTCTCCCGACCCGCCCAGTCTGCACACCGCGGCCGCCAGATCCCCAGGGCCACCGAGGATCCCCCAGAGTGTCCCGCCTCGCGCCGACCCGCCCAGTCTGCATACCGCGGCCGCCAGGTCCACAGGGCTACAGAGTATCCCCCAAGATTGCCGCCTCGCTCCTTCGACAGCACAGCCCAGAGCATTGCAGAACATGACACATCATACCATGACCGAGCGCGGCACAAAAAATGATCTAAATCACAGAACATAGCACAACACAATCCTAGAAGATATGACATACCGAACCATACATAACAGAGCATAGCACCACAACTCCTACCAGAGCATAACTGTGTATAGCAAACATAAGATAACGTATCACAACACTCTACACAATGACAGAAGAGCGCATACCATGGCACATCATCACAACACACAGCATTACATGGCCGGGGACAGCTCGCATACAATGACAAACCAGGGCGTAACTGAACATTCCAAACCATACCATATCATGTGTTAGCATTGCATGCCCGAACGCATCAGATCATACCATATCATAGTAACACAGGGTCTGCCCCAAAAACTAACAGGTAATACCATAACACAACGTCACAACACAAGAAACGGTGCAGTATATACCATGATGTAACACGTCAGAACATAACACCACAACAGAGCACAGAGCAATCCGCGCCCATGGCAAATCATAACATGGCATGGCGCGGCATAACATGCTATCTGCAGACCCCCGCTTGGCGGGGGATGCACATGCGTGTGATACATTTGGCTGTCCCCCCTCCCCTGTTCCCCCCCCCTGGGGTCCGAAATGCTGCTTGAGTGGGGGGGGTCCAAAATGCTGCTTGAGTGGGGGGGGCGAGGGGGGACAAGCGCCTAAACGCATGCCCGGGGCCTTCAGAGCCTCTCCAGAACCCCACGACGGCGCATGAGGTCCAACACAGAGCGCCAACACAGTGCGCCAAAACAGTCCAAGACAGCGTCAAGATCGCCTAAGGTGGCCCCACGACGACCCCATAAGGCTTCGAGACGGCCCACGAGGCACCTAAGACGGCCAAAGAGTGCTCCCTGAGGACCGCCAAGAGATCCCCCAGAAGCGAAAACCGTCCCATTGACATCGGAAACAGTAAATATTTGATACGCTCGCCTTCTTCGTCCTGACACTGTCAACGATTGCCCAAGGGGTTTCCAGGATCGTCCCAAGACGGCCAATGAGGTCCTGAAGACGGCCGCGGGGCCCTCCAAACGGTCCAAGAGAGCCCCAACAGGTCTCTGAGAGGGGCCCAAGAAGAGGGATACCCACTGACATTTCGAGCCTTCTGCTCAAGATGAATCCAAGAGACAACGCGAAGACCCCCGACGCCCCCCAAGGCGACCACAAGAGGCCCCAAGAGCCCCCCAAGGGGCCCCCAAGAAGCCCCCAGGAGTCCCCCAAGAAGGCCCAAAAGGCCCCTGGATGCCCCCTAAGAGCCCTCCAAGAGGCCTCTGACAAGGTATCCGCGAATCCCTCACATGCATCCAGTAAGCTCCTGACCCGCCAGACAACTTCCAAGATCGTCGCAAGCACTCGTTGCTTTTTCTTTTTTTGTGTTCTGAGGGGCCGACGGAATAGCGCAATCAGCTTGAATACCATAGCAGAACATAACACATAGCAGAACACCATGAGCCATGCTATAAAGGAGCATACAGGACATAGCAGACCACCTCACCTCGTAAGATAACACAGCAACTCATAACGTAACGAAGTCTGTCAACTCGTAGCGCAGCATAGCATACCATAACAGGGCATGCCATACCATACCACAACACCGCACCGCATGTCATGACAACGTATAGCATGACGGGGTGCCACCAGCACCCATCATAGCATACCATATCGTAATAAAACACAGCAGCGTAGCACACCATACCATGACATAGCATGCCATATCATGACATAGCTGGGCACACCGTAGCAACGCATACAGTGGAAGCATGCACATCATACCATAACAATCCACATCATACCATAACAAGAGCATACCATACCTGAACGTAATATAACTCACTGATGTCGCACACCAGAGCTTAATACATGTCAGCACGCTACTGCATTCAAAAACATGACACGCTATACCATACCACGTCGCGGAATCGTATCACATACCATAGCATACTATAACAGAACATACCATATCATGTCATGACATAACATAACAGCCAACATACTATAACATAACAACGCGCGCCAGTCAACACTACTGGGCCCCACGCGATATGTTCAAGGAGGCGCGCGCGCTGTTGGGAACAAACACCGAGCGCCCTGGTTGGGAATCGCTCGAAGCAAAACAATTTCCACTGTTTTCGACCTCTGGCCTCGGGGCCGTCGGAGAACGGCTCGGGATGAGAAACTGATCCTGGGGAATGGGTCGAGACCTCTAGGGGTCGACGTAGTGAAAAAAACATGACGTCGGGAGTCTACGAAGAAAGAGGACTATATGCAAAGACACCGACCCCGGCGAGGCCCATCTTGGGGCCCATCTTGCACGCCCTCCTGGCCTGGCCAGGGAGGCCATTGGCATTTACGCTGGCCCCGGGCCACGGATGGGCATGGCCAACATCGACGCATCTGCATGATTATAGCTCTTCGCCCGAGGGCCAGGGGCGTGGGGGCGGCTGCCAGGGCCCCCCTGGCGCCGCGGCCACCTGTGCAGGGCGGGAAATGATCTCCCTAACCACCGCCCGGTGGATTGGTCCGCGAGGACATCGGCGGGCGGTGGATACGGATATGTTCTGCCCCTTCAAAGGGCCCGAACGACTCTACACATCCGCCGCCTGCCGAGGTGCCCGAAGATCAATCCCCCGGGCAGTGGTGATGGAGGAGTCCCCCAGGGGCTCCAAAAATGTAAACAGAAGCTGGGGACACCGTGGGCCAGGGACACCTGTAGCACTTCCCGACGAAGACAAAACAGCAAACACCGAAACTTCCAAAGGTCCACGCGGTTTTCTTGGATCGGCGCTGGACCCCCCCGCCCTGGCGCGAAGAACGCTCGATGGGGGCGGCGACGGGGGCGCCGCCAGAGGGACACGGCGAGGATCCAGTCTATCCGCTCGGACCTCCGAACATGTATGTTGATGGTGGTCTGCATGTTTCGATCTCCCTCCCGCAGGTCACACTTCATAACCCAGAACTCGAAGGATGCTTGCGGCCGAATGCACCCTGGCGGAAATGTCCGATACCCCAGCTGGACGGGCAAATCCCGCATCAAGGGCACGCCGCCGCGCTTACCCGTCCGCATGTTAGATGTTTCTTGCTGGAAGCTAAGTATAAGACATACCGCCTCGGCTTAGTTCCTCAATCAGTACTTGCACTGAAGGGGTCCTAGCAGAAATTGCAAGATTTCGTGAAAATTTCCCGCCGATTTTGGTGGCCGGCTGGGTTCCCAAATTCCTGGTTTGGGATTCCCGGATTCCTGGTCATTGGTTCCGGGTCGATTTCGGTGGGTTCCGGGTTCCCGGGTTCCAGGGTTCCCGGTCGATCTCCTTATCGACCTCTTGATCGATCCCATTTTGAACCATCCACTGGTTGGGGTTTTCCTCTGATGTAATAGCCATCAGCGGGCTTTGGTGTATTACTCGCGGTCTCTGTAGTGGCCTTTGGTCGCCTACTAGCAGCCTGTAGTGGCCTTTAGCTGCCTCTCGTAGCGCTCAGCGGCCTTCAAAAATCTGATCGACCCAAACGGGGGTCCAACGACACCGGGGTGGTGCAATAGAGTTGGTGCGATAGATTTGTGGGATTGCAGTAGATTTGGGGTGTTCAGTACAACCCAGTGCGCAGATGTATTGCTGGGTTTTCGCGTGCAATACATCAGCTGCCATACATTGCAATCCAATTCTCTGGCGCAATACATTTGCAACACAAAGGCCCCAGATCTATTGCACCACCCCTTTCAACTGGACCCCGCTGTCGGTCGCAGGGAAACAACCTCTACAGAAATGCACCTGAAAGGTGGGAAGCCCATCGCGGCGGGAAACCATGAGCGCCCCGCCGCGCGAGACACCGGGCCCCCCGGGCCCAAACAGTGGAGCAGCACGCTGACGGGCTCCCAACAGCGGCGTGTCCTGAATCGCCCCGCTCCCCCCCCGGCCAGCGTCGAGTGGACCCGCGGGGGCAAGAGACCGCAAGTGGGCGACGAAAAAGAACAGGCCTTGCGCGAGATTATACAGCGACCCTACGCGGTGGTTTGCGCAGGCCTCCAGCGTTGCACGCTCACGCGCGACCATACGCTCGCTTGTCGGTAAAAAAGGCCCTGTTGTTCGTCTTCGCTCCATTCGCTGGAGGTCCCGACCGCGTCCCCGCGGGGGCATCCCGAGGGCCCGCAAGTGGCCCCGAAGGCTGTAATCATTAAGAAACAGCCGATTCAAAAAAATGAAGGCGCGCCGCTGGATCCCCCAAAGGGGGGGGGTGTCGGACCCCTCCCCTTCCCGGGCCCGTCGTCGGGACTCCCCCCCTCCCATTTTCCGGTCCGTCGTCGGGGACCCCCCCTTCCCGGTCCGTCGCCGACGACCCCACCCCCTTTGAAAACGGGGGGTGGATCCAGACCGCATGTCGGACCAATCCCAACCGTCTGGGACTAATTACAACCGAATGGAACACTTCTCAACCGGCCAAAAAATCATTTGGTACCAATTACAACCAGACATATCGGGTCTATAACGGGATTATTTATGTATACAACTTCTTATGTACAGCATTCCTTGTTTCCCTCCTCCTTTCTCGCCTCTTCCTTCCTCATCCTCCTGTTTCGTCCTCCTCATCCTCATCTCACTCGTGCCGCATTTCTCGATTTCCTCCTTTGTTTCCCCTTCCTGCTTCTCTCTTGTACGTCCTCCTCCTCCTCGTTTTCCTCCATAACCGCCTCCTCCTCCTCCTCCTGTTCCTCCTCTTCTTCCTCCACCTTGTCCTCCTCCTCTTATTATTTTCTCCTCCTCCTCCTCCTCTTCCTCCTCCTCTGCCTCCGGCGGGAGCACGGCGACTCGTTCGGCCACGCTCTCCCTCCCCGTGGGTCCGGGGGGTCTCCCAAACCCCCGAGGACACGAACGCTTCCATCGGAAGCGTCGACCTCGGAGCCAGGGGAGACCCCGCGCCATGGAAATCGCTGGCAGTCATGAGGATACCATTAGGCTTCCCAAGGGAACTTCTGCTTGGGATGCTCGCAAGATCCCTCAAGAATTGTCAAGAATCCTCGAGGACACCGCAAGAAGTCTGCAGAATCCCAGGCGCCCTCAAGGATCCGCTGGGGATCCCACGCAAAATTCTGCAGGAATCCAAGAGAACCCTCAGGAATCCACAAGACACTTGACAATTCCGCAGGACACCGAAAGAATCCGCAGGATTCCACCGGAATCCAACGGAATAAGGAGCCTCTGAAGGAATCTCTAGGAAGCCTGCGAGGAGACTCTTAAGACAACTCGGAAGAAAACTCTCTAAGGAAACCTCCAAGGAGCGTCTACGGAACCTCTGCAGAGCCTCTCAGGGACCTCTAAGGAGCTTCTTCCAATCAGCCCTTAAGGAACCTTTTTCCGAAGGACTTCTAGGGAACGCCACAGGAGCCCCTAAGGAACCTTTAAGGAGCTTGTGATGAAACCTCTGAAAAGCCTCCAAAGAGCTTCTGAGGATCGTCTCAGGAGTTTCCGACGAACCTCTAAGGAGTTCAGCTTTCTGAAACCTCTACGGGGCCTCTATGGAAACCTCGAAGGATCCTGTAAGGAGCTTCTGAAGAGCCTCTAAGGAATCCTCCAACTGTCCTCGAAAAAAACCTCTAAGGAGCTTCTAAAGAATGTAACCTCGAAGGGAACTTCACATGAGCCTCGGACGAACCCTCTAACGAGCTTCTACGGAGCCTGTAAGAAAACCTTTCAAGGAGCCTCTGAGGAAATCTCTAGAGAGCCTCCGAGGAAACTTCCAAGGAACCTCTAAGGAGCATCTATGGAGCCTCTGAAGAAACTGCTTAGGGAGCCTTTAAGGGGAGCCATTAAGGAGCCATTACGAAACCTCCAAGGATCCTCTAAGGAGCCTCCAGGAAACCGTTTAAGGAGCATGTAGTTGTGATTGGTCCCAAGCGGCTGGGGTTAAGACCGTATTTTTTTGGAATGCGTCCCAGTTGGTTGTAAGCCGTCTCGTTTTCGGTCCGGGCCCCGCGCCCCATTCCTCCCTGTGGACTCAAAACTCGGACCCCCCTCTGCCCCTCTCGCCACACCACCCCCTGACTCCACCAAAACCCGACCCCGACCACCCCTAACCCGACTCCTGAAGCCCTACCCTCACGCATAACCCTAATCCTACACCAACCACTACACACGACTCGCTACTCACCATTCACTACTAACTGCCCACTACTCAGTACCCACTAACCAACACACACGAGTCACAACGCTCTACTCACTACTCACTACTCACTACTCACTACTGCCTACTCGCAAAATTATTGTTCACTACCCACTGTTCGCTACCCACTAATCGCAAGTCGCGTCTCCCTACTCAAAACTCACAACCCACTACTCGCAACTCGAAACTCAGAGCGTACTACGCACTACTCGCAACTCACAACTCACTACTCGCAACTCCCAACGAGCAACTCAGAATCCTCTACTCAGTGCACACTACACACTACAGATTACTTACTACTCCCTACTACTCACTGCTCACTATGAACTACTCACTGCTCACTACCCGCTACCCACTACTCACTTCTTACTACTCTGCACTCGCTGTTCACGAATGATCACCCACGACTTACTACTCACGACACGGTAATAACTACCCACTACCCACTACGACCTATTCACTATCCACTTATCTCTTCTCACGACTCACGTCTCATGACTCACTACTCACTATCCGTGACCCACTACTCGACATACACTTCTCATTTTCCACTACCCACTACGCCCTACTCACTACTCACTGCTCGGAAATACCTACTCACGACTCGCTACTCCTTGCTACTCACCAGACACTACCGACTACTCCCTTTTCACCATTCAATGATCACGACACACTGTTCACTACTTACGACCCACCACCCATTACTCAGAACTCACGCCTCACTACTCTATATTCGCTACCCACTAGTCACTATTCACTACTGACTACTCATTGCTCAGTGCTCGCTAACTACTACCCACTACTCACTGCTCACTACGCTGTACTCCCTACTCCGCGCTCGCTACTCACTCCTCGCTACTCACTACTCACTACACACCACTCACTACCCACGACTGACCACTCACTACGCACAACTCACGAATCATTACTACAAACTCACTACCTGCTACGAACTACTCACTGGTCAAAACTCACAACTCACTACTCACTACGCAAAACTCAACACTCAATGACCATGACACGGAGGCCAAATCCCCCCACTCCTTGCACAGACGCCCCTCTCCCTGGCCCCCTGCCCAGCGCAAAGGTGGAGAGGGGACGGTCCGAAATCCCCTGCGCCCCCTGTCCAGCGCAGTTGGACAAGGGGGGGTCCGAAAATCCCCCCTCTTCCGAAGGGGGGAGGGGATGGGGAGGGCTCTGCGAGCACACCACCCCTTGTCAACTACTGGGGGATCCAATGGCGCGCGTTCCAAAAAATACCCGGTCACGTACCCAACCGTCTCTTAACACTTGGCGGATCTACGTGGGACAACTCAATGCGAACAAACATGTTGAGGGCCCCGCAGTGTTCATGAGCCCTCAAAAGAATACCAAAACAGGATGAATTGCAAGATAAGGACAGCGACAAAAGCACACGGAGGAGGGCGAGTAGGGACATAACCATCAAAAAAAGATGCCGGGCGCTTCGTACGCGGGACAGAACAACAAGCTGGGCGCGGCAAGCGCACAGGGTGAGATGCCGTGCCAGAGGCAACTGAGGATGGAAAGGCACGCGGACAATAGACAGCGCGATACGCTGCGTGGCGCAGCGGTTCCCTGCGAGGTGCGATGCGGCAGCGCCGAACGCTGCGTGACGAGACAGCGCCGAGCGCTATGAGAACTCATGCCCTTTTGGACGCGATTACTTGCACTCAATTGCATTTTTCGTCGGCGCCCGCGCCAATGAAGGCGCCGGCGATAACTACCGCGAATTCGCCTGACGCCGCCGCAGGAAGCCCACGAACGCGACCAATTGCACACTTCACGGGCCCCGCCCCCAGGGAGCCGCGAGGTCTCCACGCGATCTGAGTACTGACCCCGCCAGACAAGCCCATCCTGAAATTCACAAAAATGGTGACAATTGCACCATTGGCAGCCCTCCAGGGAGCCGCGAGATCTCCACGGGATCTCCATGCCACTCCAATCCGTTGAACTTTCCAGGAGCCCACGAAAGGAGCAACAGCTTCACACTTCTCAGCCCCCTCAGGGAGCCTCGAGGTCCCCACTGGATCCCTGTACAACTCCATTCTGTTGGACCTCCCAGGAGCCCACGAAAGGGGCGACAACTTCACACTTCGCAGCCTCCCAAGGAGCCGCGAGGTCTCAACTGGGCCCGGATACAACTCCGCTCCGCCCGACCGCCCAGTAGCCACGAAATTGGCGACTCTTTCAAACTTCGCAGCACCACAGGGAGCCGCGAGGTCTCAACTTGGGATCCCCGCGCAACTACACTCCGCTGGTCCTCCCAGGAACCCACGAAAGGGGCGACAATGTCACACTCGACAACCACCAAGGGAGCCACGAAATTTCAAATGGGTTCCCGTACAACTTCAATCCGCGAGACCTCCCACGAGCCCACAAAAGTGGCGACAGTTGCACACTTCTCAATTCCCAAGGGTTCTGCGAGGTCTCGACTGGTTCCCAGTACAACTCACTCCGCGCGACCTCCCAGGAACCCACGAAATTGGCGTCAGTTGCACACTTCGCAGCCACCCAGGGAGCGGCGAGGTCTCGAAGGGATCCCCGTACAACTCCACTTCGCGCGACCTCCCAGGAGCCCACGAAAGTGGCAAAATCTGCGCACTTCGCAGCCCCCCACGGAACTGCGAGGTCTCGACGGGATCCCCGTACAACTACACTTCGCAGGACCTCGGACCTATCAGGAGCCCACGGCGAGTAGCGATGGCACAACCTGAAGAGCAAGGGCACGCGAACTCTGCTCGCGACAGGAGGCGGGAAGTAGGATGCAGGAGGCAGTAGGGAAAGGAAGAAGGATGAGACACGACCACAACGCTCTATGAAAAACGAAGGCCCAATGCAGGAGAATTAGAAGCCGCGAGGTCTCCACTGGATCCACGTACAAGTCCCCTTCCGCTGGACCTCTCGGGAGCCCACGAAAATGGCGACAGTTGCACGCTTCGCAACCCCTCACGGAGCCGCGAGGTCCCAACTGGATCCCCCTACAACTCCACTCCGCTGGACCTCCCAGGAGCCCACGAAAGTGGGCGGTAGCATAGCACAAAACCGGAGAGCAAGGGCACGCGAACCATGCTCGCGACAGGAGGCGGGGAAGTAGGAGGCAGGAGGCGGAAAGGGGGAGGAAGAAGGCCACCACAGTGCTCTAGTCAAACCGAAATCCAGCGCAGGAGGGTTGGGACAAACAGATCGACTGAGCATAGATTATTCGACTTCCATCCCTAGCGGCGTGGGCTGGGCCCCACTGGTCGATTTACCCCCCTAGATGGGGATATCGGCTGTCCCATTCGGGTTTCGAGGGTGCATCCTCAACTGGGGTAGTAATTTGGTGGGGGTCTCGAAGGGAATTGGGATGGGGATGGGGGTGGTTACACGATTCTGGTCGACGGAGATTTGGGCTCTCAAAGCATAGCCCGGGCCCCAGGGACGCCTGCCACTCGAGCAGCACCACGCCCTCGGCGTCGGTCCAGAGCGTGAGCCCCAAGAGGCCCCCCGGCGCGCCCACGGCGCAGACCCTGACGCGGACGCCGCCCTCGAGCTCCAGGTCCTCGGAGCTGCCGGCGGAGCTGTCCGAGGGGGGCGGGGGGACGCCGCAGTCCTGCGTACACGGTTTACCCCGGAGCCAAAGGCGACCGGAGGAGGAGGAGGACGACGAGGGGGAGGAGGGGGAGGGGGAGGAGGAGATGGAGGAGAAGGAGGCGGAGGGAGGAGATGGAGGAGGAGGAGGAGGAGGAGGAGGAGGAGGAGCAGGAGCTCGGACGCGGGCACCAAGCAGATAAGGGAGGGACTCCGAGACGCCCTGCAACAGACAGGGACCCGAGGGCGCTGGGCCTCGACGTAGCTAGATCAGACTCAGACGTTGAAGGACGGGATAACAGGAGCGTCACGGATGTCATACGCAAGTTGTACAGCCAGAGTGACGGAGAGGATGAAGGACCCCCGCTATACCAAGACGACCATCCAGGGGATGTGCTGGGCCAAAGCGTGAAAGTAGCACTCAAAGCTCATCACGTGGAAGCTCAAAGGCAAGTTCGAGATGAGCGGCTCCAAGACCAAGAGCACCATGAACCAGAGCCGACCCCACAGGTTCAGTGCGAGATCCAACCAGACGAGCAGCTCACAGAATTCCTTTGTCGGAGGCAGCCTTTTTAGATACAAGTGGACACAAGCCAGATGGAATTACACGATTTTGCGGAACTAGCCGTACGAATGTGCCCGCCGAACGACAAGAAGGCAAAGATCATCCACATCCACACAGATGGAAGCTATTACCAAACGAAGCCAGAGGTTACGTCGTGGGCGATAGTCATCACGAAGCAGACGGCCGACGGTTTCAGCTACGTAGGATACCTAACGGGCAGAGCCAAGGAAGCGACAAAGGTGACAAGCAAGGATACCCCAGACCACAACACGGGCGAGATGACGGCGCTGCTTTGGGGATACCTGACGGCCTTCACCAACTACAGCGACTGCGAGAAGCACATCCACACGGATTGCGAAGCGGTACGAGCAGTTGGAGATGGAACGCTAGCCTTGGCATCGGACTACGAGCTCTCAAGACTGACGGCGTTGACGGCGGCAGAGATACGTAGACGTATGAAGCTGGCCAATTTTTACGTGAAAGCGCACGACGGACACCCGTGGAACGAGCTGGCGGACTCGATAGCAAAGCATACGGCAGCACACGGATCAGATTTCGCACAAAGATTTTCAGATGTGATCGATAAGCTTACTTACAAAAGAGATACCGACTGGAATATATTATTGGAAGACAACGGTTTGGTTAAAGAAGCATACCCAAATATTCAACCATCAGAAGCAACAGCAATGGGAAAAGGCGGATGGGAATTTGATTATGAGCAGCAGCGAACGGACACGTCAAGAGCAGCACCTCAGTGGGCAAAAGCAACACCCAAGAGATACGATGGCGACGATGAGGAGGAGCAGAACAGTTCTTCGCTGATTGGAGTGGGTAGTACTACATGTCCCCAGGGCACGCACCGCTCACCTGACCCTCGCCAACAGTCGCTGGTGGAAGACAATGAGGAATCGGGGAGGCAGCGAGTACCGACCCCACGGGGCACGCACTGCGCACCTCACCCACACCTCGTCTCTCCGCGGCTTGGCATTCGGGCAGGAAGCGAGCACCGACCCTCGGGGACAGAGGAAGCGGACGAATACCCAGATGCAAACAAAGAGGCGACGGAGGGGAAGCAAACGAAGTTCAACCTCAGGATCGGCACCTACAACGCGATGACGATGGGGGAGGACGGCCAGGAGATGGAGCACAACGAGGACCAGGAACGGAGGCAACCTTTTCGAGGACGGCTTACGAGAATGCAGATGGTGCAGAACGGGATCCACATACTTGGAATACAAGAAACACGGCAGCCACCAGGTACGACCAGGATGGACGGATGTGTACTCTTATCAGGTGGCGACGACAATGGGAACTTGGGCTGCGGTCTGATATTCAACTCCACGGAGCCATGCGCGACCACGAGATCAGGACCCAAGAGTTTGTCGGTTTCTCAGTTTCGCCAACTGCATGCAGACCCGCGGCGATACATCGTGAAGGTAAAGGCACCGCTCGTGGAGGAAGTGATTGGCGTATTCCACACACCGCATCATGATCACAAAAAGAAGGTCAGATCGGAATGGTGGACGGAAACAAAAAGATTGCAGGACAAATACAAGTGCACCATAGTCCTCTTGGATACGAACGGCGAGATTCACAGGAGCGAAGGATTTGAACACATCGTGGGTGAATACGCCGCGGACAAGATTGCCACGGATAAGCACTTCGACAGAGAAGAAAAGTATACATACGTATATAGATACAGGCCAGACAAGAAAAACAAACCGAAGCAGTGGCAGACGACGCTCAAGCAGATTGACCACGTGATGTTGGCACCTCACCTTTTTTTCAGCGGCAATATCTACCCTAGCATTAACAGACTGGGATAATGGAACAAACCACCCAGATCATATTCCGCTGATTGTGGACATCTGCGCTGAGGGGACATCTGCGCCGAAGGGCACCAAGCAGATAAGGGAGGGACTCCGAGACGCCCTGCAACAGACAGGGACCCGAGGGCGCTGGGCATCGACGTAGCTAGATCAGACTCAGACGGTGAAGGACGGGATAACAGGAGCGTCACGGATGTCATACGCAAGTTGTACAGCCAGAGTGACGGAGAGGATGAAGGACCCCCGCTATACCAAGACGACCATCCAGGGGATGTGCTGGGCCAAAGCGTGAAAGTAGCACTCAAAGCTCATCACGTGGAAGCTCAAAGGCAAGTTCGAGATGAGCGGCTCCAAGACCAAGAGCACCATGAACCAGAGCCGACCCCACAGGTTCAGTGCGAGATCCAGCCAGACGAGCAGCTCACAGAATTCCTTCGTCGGAGGCAGCCTTTTCAGATACCAGTGGACACAAGTCAGATGGAATTACACGATTTTGCGGAACTAGCCGTACGAATGTGCCCGCCGAACGACAAGACGGCAAAGACCATCCACATCCACACAGATGGAAGCTATTACCAAACGAAGCCAGAGGTTACGTCGTGGGCGATAGCCATCACGAAGCAGACGGCCGACGGTTTCAGCTACGTAGGATACCTAACGGGCAGAGCCAAGGAAGCGACAAAGGTGACAAGCAAGGATACCCCAGACCACAACACGGGCGAGATGACGGCGCTGCTTTGGGGATACCTGACGGCCTTCACCAACTACAGCGACTGCGAGAAGCACATCCACACGGATTGCGAAGCGGTACGAGCAGTTGGAGATGGAACGCTAGCCTTGGCATCGGACTACGAGCTCTCAAGACTGACGGCGTTGACGGCGGCAGAGATACGTAGACGTATGAAGCTGGCCAATTTTTACGTGAAAGCGCACGACGGACACCCGTGGAACGGGCTGGCGGACTCGATAGCAAAGCATACGGCAGCACACGGATCAGATTTCGCACAAAGATTTTCAGATGTGATGGATAAGCTTACTTACAAAAGAGATACTGACTGGAATATACTATTGGAAGACAACGGTTTGGTTAAAGAAGCATACCCAAATATTCAACCATCAGAAGCAACAGCAATGGGAAAAGGCGGATGAGAATTTGATTATGAGCAGCAGCGAACGGACACGTCAAGAGCAGCACCTCAGTGGGCAAACGCAACACCCAAGAGATACCATGGCGACGATGAGGAGCAGAACAGTTCTTCGCTGATTGGAGTGGGTAGTACTACATGTCCCCAGGGCACGCACCGCTCACCTGACCCTCGCCAACAGTCGCTGGTGGAAGACAATGAGGAATCGGGGAGGCAGCGAGTGCCGACCCCACGGGGCACGCACTGCGCACCTCACCCACACCTCGTCTCTCCGCGGCTTGGCATTCGGGCAGGAAGCGAGCACCGACCCTCGGGGACAGAGGAAGCGGACGAATACCCAGATGCAAACAAAGAGGCGACGGATGGGAAGCAAACGAAGTTCAACCTCAGGATCGGCACCTACAACGCGATGACGATGGGGGAGGACGGCCAGGAGATGGAGCACAACGAGGACCAGGAACGGAGGCAACCTTTTCGAGGACGGCTTACGAGAATGCAGATGGTGCAGAACGGGATCCACATACTTGGAATACAAGAAACACGGCAGCCACCAGGTACGACCAGGATGGACGGATGTGTACTCTTATCAGGTGGCGACGACAATGGGAACTTGGGCTGCGGTCTGATATTCAACTCCACGGAGCCATGCGCGACCACGAGATCAGGACCCAAGAGTTTGTCGGTTTCTCAGTTTCGCCAACTGCATGCAGACCCGCTCGTGGAGGACGTGATTAGCTTATTCCACACACCGCATCATGATCACAAAAAGAAGGTCAGATCGGAATGGTGGACGGAAACAAAAAGATTGCAGGACAAATACAAGTGCACCATAGTCCTCTTGGACACGAACGGCGAGATTCACAGGAGCGAAGGATTTGAACACATCGTCGGTTAATACGCCGCGGACAAGATTGCCACGGATACGCACTTCGACAGAGAAGAAAAGTATACGTACGTATATAGATACAGGCCAGACAAGAAAAACAAACCGAAGCAGTGGAAGACGACGCTCAAGCAGATTGACCGCGTGATGTTGGCACCTCACCTTTTTTTCAACGGCAATATCTACCCTAGCATTAACGGACTGGGATAATGGAACAAACCACCCAGATCATATTCCGCTGATTGTGGACATCTGCGCTGAGGGGACATCTGCGCCGAAGGGCACCAAGCAGATAAGGGAGGGACTCCGAGACGCCCTGCAACAGACAGGGACCCGAGGGCGCTGGGCATCGACGTAGCTAGATCAGACTCAGACGGTGAAGGACGGGATAACAGGAGCGTCACGGATGTCATACGCAAGTTGTACAGCCAGAGTGACGGAGAGGATGAAGGACCCCCGCTATACCAAGACGACCATCCAGGGGATGTGCTGGGCCAAAGCGTGAAAGTAGCACTCAAAGCTCATCACGTGGAAGCTCAAAGGCAAGTTCGAGATGAGCGGCTCCAAGACCAAGAGCACCATGAACCAGAGCCGACCCCA